TAATTTGTTTTTGTGACTGTGTGGAACCCAGTTCAGCTACTGATTGGTTGATTGTGCGACTGCGGAGATGGATAAAAGCTCCCCATCCAAACAATGACTATCATCAGTGCAGGTAAGAGGGAAAAAATAATTTTAATCTTTATCATCTACAATACCGTCTTATTTATTTTATAGTACAGTACATTGATTATTGCTTTCATTTTATGGATCAATAGTCTCGTTAGATAGCAAAATGCATGTTAAATCGCTGTTTTAGGGGTTTTTAAAAGTCTGGAATGGATTACAGTAGAACCTCTACTTACAACCGCCTCCACTAGCGAACGTTCCAAGTTGCGACCATGGCAAACCCGGAAGTAACCGGCGGGTTTGCCGCTGTTCGCGCATGCGCAGAAGCGGCCAATCACCGCCCGCGCCTGTGCACAGTGGCGCCTCTCCCAGCAACCTGTTTCACCATAAGGACGGGCCTCTGGAACGGACTGTGGTCATGAGTAGAGGTTCCATTCGTTTTGCATTACTTTCTATTGGAAAGCGCACCTTGGGTTTGGAACGCTTTGGTTTTGGAACGGACTTCCAGAATGGATTAAGTTTGAGAACCGGGGGGTTCACACAGGATTATAATTGGTGTTTACTTGCTTAAGGAGATTATCAGAAGAGATCATAAAGAAAAAAAGAAAAATATACGAACAAGATGAGATGTGGAAATAGCAAGATAAGACTGGATAGAATTATGAACATTATTTGGACAGATTTGTGGATATTAACGCAGCAGCAAGAAGATGATCGGAATCCCCCTTCGGAACTTGAAATATGGGTCCCCCCAACAAAAATTTAAAATTCGGCTTTGTAATTCGGAATTTATGTGATGTGATTTGATTTGATTTGATTGGTCGGTTAATAATTTTATTTTTTTTAAAAAAAGGATTAAGTTTGAGAACCAAGGTAAAGAGGGACCCCTGACCATTAGATCCAGTCGTGGCCAACTCTGGGGTTGTGGCACTCATCTCGCTTTACTGGCCTAGGGAGCTGGCATACAGCTTCCGGGTCATGTGGCCAGCAGGACTAAGCCGCTTCTGGAGAACCAGAGCAGTGCACGGAAATGCCGTTTACCTTCCTGTCAGAGTGATACCTATTTATCTACTTGCAATTTGGCGTGCTTTTGAACTGCTAGGTTGGCAGGAGCAGGGACCGAGCAACGGGAGCTCACCCCATCGCAGGGATTTGAACCGCCAACCTTCTGATTGGCAAGCCCTAGGCTCTGGGGTTTAACCCACAGCTCTCCCACAATAACCAAGGTACCACTGTACAAATTAATTTGTCTCTGTGAGAAGGATGATTCTCCCCCCCCCCCCGTTGCTTTTTAAACTTCTGGGGTATCTTCTTGCCCTTGTTTCTGGAATTTTGCTACAAAAGAGAGAAGGAACGCCGGTTGCAGAAAATGACACTGCGTCCTGCCCACACCCACCCACCCACCCACCCGGGGCAAAGGACATGTTTGCAAGTGTCTGTGGCTTCCACTGAATTTCAAGGAAACTCTTTATTCAGAGAGACATTTTGATGGTTCCCAATAAAAACTGCAGAGGGAAAAAATGGTCTGGAGACATTTGAGGAGCATAAAAACATCTTCCTCGATAAAGGATGCTTCCAGACAGGTGTTGAATACTTGCTGGAAGCGGGTTGCTGAGATATTGCAAATGGGTTGTTGGCAACACAGTTGTTGTTGTTTTAACTTACTGGATTTCTACCGGAAAGGGTAAATCGAGATTAAGTGAGGGAGGTAAAAATACATCACTGATGACAATAATGGTGTGTGAAAGGTGGAAAAAAACCCAAAAAAAACCTTGCAGGCATGGGGAGGGCAGATCTCATGAAAATGGACTGTTTTGAAGGACCCAAAGTTTCCTCCTGGAATCCCCGCTTGTGGTTTCATGATGCCACAGCTCTTATCTAATTTACACTATTCACTACCAGAATATTAATATAAAAAGTTAATAAATGGAAAGAGCGTCTTTCATTCTGCAGCAAAAAGAGCACAGCTAGCCAAAGGCAGGTGCAGGGAGATCAATACAAGGATGCTGAGGAATAAAGCAAAGGATCTTTCAAAAGTCTCGCTTTCTGCATTGGGGGAAAGAGTTTCTCAGTATATTTCCTATTTTCCTATAGCTGCAGCTAGCAATGGAGGATATATTTAGTTCGAGGTTTAATGTGAACCTACTTAATTTGCAACACACAAACTGAAACATGGCACTTCTCGGAGTTTTGCGAACCAAAAGATACACATGAAAAGGCATTTGTACACTTCCGGGTTGGCGCGATCCGGGAATGGCGGATTCCCTCCGAGCTCCGGAGGGAATCGGCTCAGCGGTGGATGGGTCTTTGCCGTGCCGGCGACACGGGGACCCTTAAAAACCGCAGGTGCAGATGCCTGCGGACTGAAGACTCGGCGGGTGCCTTAAGCGCCCCCCCTGATTCGCGAAGAGCCTTTTTAAAGGCTATGGAGGGGATACGGGGGACGGCGCGGCACTGAGAGTCGATCGCTACCGCCGCTGAGCGAAGCCGCGAGCCATAACTGGAGAGCGCTGACTTCCTTCCTTGAAATTCGGACTGAAAAAAAAGAACCCGTGAGTAATTTGGAACTGAGCTTTAAAAACTTTTACCCTTTGAATTCGAGACGACCGGGGGGGTGTGCCAAAAGGAAGTCCCCATCCCCCCCCTTGCAGACGATCCAGAGCAACGATATAAGAGCTAAGCTGGAGTGCCTACCCTGCAAAGGGTGAGTTTTAAAAAAGACAGTAACTTCCAAGATTTGGAAAAGCAAATTTAAGCAGGAGAGTGGAGTGTTGGAAGAGTTTTCTTTTTGTGGTAAACAACCCTCCCTCCCGAGCCCGGGAGCGATCTGCTTTGGAGCCTGTATAGAGGAGCAGAATTTGACAGCTGTCAAAGCTGTCAAATGGACTGTTAATACTGAAAAAATTGCTACTTAAGACCTCTCCGGATAAAAAGGAGTTACAATTGAACTAAAATCTTGGGAAACAAAGAAACAATAATAGGACAGAGGATTGTTGGAGAAAAGATCATCCAGTAACCAGATTCCCTCTAGGGGGAATTCTGTGGAATTACAATGGCTGTGGGTGGAAAGATACTGAGAGAAATCGAAAGGATGTTCTCACTGGTGGGAACCTTACAGGAGCAGACTACAGCTATGAGTAAACAACTGACGGCCTTGGATTTGGAAACAAGTAGCTCTGCTGAATGTAATGAGGACTTGAATGAGAAAGAACCCACAGCTGAATTTGAAATAATAAACAAAGAAGAGGAGAAGACAAAACAAGAAAGAGAACAAGTCATGTGGGAAAATACTAACCAGAAGCCGATATTTGGAGAATACAAACAAGGAGACTATTGGATGGAATCTATTCCAAGCCTACGAAAGATACAGAAGATGAAAGTGGAGGCCCTGGGAGTTTATGGAACTCAGGAACTCGAAATAAAGAAGTACAATTGGGGCCTCCACATAGACTTTGATTTTGACCATCATCAAGACCCAGGCCTTGTGGAAATTCCTCAGCAGTTGCTTATAAATATGGGAAGAGACTATGGACTGATTGGATTGAATGTTAATGAAATCTTTCGAGACTCGATGACTGACAAAGAGGACTACCAACAAAACCGGCGGAGAGGGACTGAAATAGATTTGAGAGCCTCGGATGTGCGGAATCCAGGCTAAAAACTGTTATTTTGGACATGTCTTGGGAAAGGACGCAAAGCGGGGATGGGAGGGAGGGAAGCATAAACTTAAATAACACTCAAGACCAGGGGTTTAGTAATAAGGAAATTACTTAAGAAAAAATGAGAAATCGAGGGAAGAGAATTGGGGTCCAACTTAGGGAAAACTTATTTTTTCTTTCTATAAAAGGACTAATATTAAGAAGGAAGAAATGCTAACTTGCTGACATAAACCTGGGAACAGGGATGCAAGGGAGGGGGTGGGGGGAAGTCAAGGACTAGGGTTAGAAAAATAAGACTTTTTGGAACTATTCATGTTTGTTGTTGTTGTTTTTTTTATGTTTGTTTTGGTGTTATGTGTTTTGTTTTTGTCTTTATAAAATGTGAAAACCCAATAAAAATTATTAAAAAAAAAAAAAAGAAAAGGCATTTGTAAGTGGAAAGTGTGTACATATTTGTGCTATGCTCTTCCCCTGCGCTATGGCCCTTTCCTTTATAAACGAGCTAAGATTCTAGTCCTCATTGTTCTGAATACAGGTCTGATTCCAACAGGAACATGGGGAGGAAGCCATCTTGCTCAGTATTGCCGGCAGCAGGGGTTTCAGGCAGGGTGAACTTCCCAGCCCTGCCACCAAGGATTAATGCCGGGATCTTCTGCAGCAAAGCAGGTGCTCTCTACCGCTGAGCGATGGCCCTAAGGACCAGACTGGATGGGCCCCTGGAATAAGTGTCTGTGTTTGCCTGAGCTTGAGAATGGAGCTCCTCTGTTCTGATTTGATACAGGGTGTCCAATCACAGAACATTTCAGGATTTGGGCCTCTGCCATTGGCCCTTGAACTCGTGAGTAGTGATTCGCAGCTTGGAAGTTTAGATAACCAATCATGCTGGGAGTGGGAGTGGTCCAGGCTTTCAGAAATGTATATAAGCAGTTGCTTTGCCCTTGTTTTCCCAGTTATGTACAGTCATACCTCGGGTTGAAGTAGCTTCGGGATAAGTATTTTCGGGTTGCACGCTGCAGCGACCTGGAAGTAACGGAGTGCGTTACTTCCGGGTTTCGCCGCTCGCGCATGCGCAGACGGTCAAAATGACATCACGCGCATGCGTGGAAGCGGTGAATAGCGACCCACGCATGCGCAAACATGCAGACGTAGGTTGCGTTCGCTTCTGGATGCGAACGGGGCTCTGGAACGTAGTTCAATAAAGGTTCTTGCTGTTATCACTGTGTCTTGCCTCGTGGGAACCCATACTTCAATAGGGGCAGCTTCATAAGTTCTCGTGCCAACGCCACAGGCTTTCTAAGTGTGAAAAGAGGATCCGCAGCAAAAGGGAACGTCCTAATCTGGGAGCCCAGGGGCCTCCCCTTCTCCTTTGTGGGCTGAAGTGGCTGTTTTGGCTCCTCTCCAGTTCCCAGCACCGACCTCACCAGCAACAGCTCCAGTTCTTTAGAATTCTCTGTCCCTATTCAGGAATCACAACTTGTAAAGAACGGAGCCCAGCAGCTCTGTTGCTTCTCCCTTCCCACGTTGCTGCTGCAATTACTGCGCTATAGTTTTTTATATCCTTTTAGGGCACCACTTGCCACCCGGGCGGGAAGGTGGTCTTCTTCCCCAAACCCACCATCACCCTGCCTGAAGAAGAAGAACTCTGCGCTTCTCAAAAGTTTCCCTTCTCTTCCATCAGCAGGAGCTAGCCAGCACTTTTTGCAATTTTTGCTGGATGTGATTTTCCTCGGACATGGGCTTTCTCACAGCACTTCCCCTGGGATCAAAACCCTGCTGCTATCTTGGGTGCTAAAGGGTGCTGGCTGGGAGAGACAGAACTTGCTTCCTTAAATTGTATCTTCGTCTTTTGTCGCATCTTGTTCCTCCCTTTGGATGAAAGGCAGGCAAAGCAACTTCGCAGTTCACTTTGCCCTTTGCAAAGGCTCTTCTCCCCATCTATAACCCCCCTCAATTTCTTTCGCCTGGGAGACAATGAAGCTTTTCAAGCTGAGCTTGAGTTGGACTTTCTTCCTTCCTTGGCTGCAGGGTAAGTTTGCTTTCGCTGCTTCTTCTTTGCACCCCTTTTTTCTCCTTGTCCGTAAGATTATTACTTTTACATACAAATACTTCCCCTGCATGGACAGTGTTTCAGTTCGCCTTCGCTGGCTGATCTGTGTTTGTTTTGATTGTGAAACGGATTCTCCTGGCAACGAGAAGTGGTTTTTTTAAAATGTACCCTTCTCTGTGTGTGTGCAGCTAGGTGACCATTGAAGGCTATTTTGAAAAGGAGCAACAAAACTGTTCCAGGAATTCTGAGACCTACAAATGTTGTTATGCAAGTCATGAATATGCAAACCGACACATCCTAAATTTTTGAGATCCTGCGCAACAAAATCAATAGGAGGTTGCAGTTGGACCAGGGAGCGTTCACCTAAAATCTGTGTGAGTTCAGCCTCCATGAAACACTGGGTGGCCTTAGGGAAATCACGAGCTCTCAGTGTAGCCTACCCATAGCTGTCAACTTTTTCCCTTTTCTTGCAAGGAATCCTATTCGGAATAAGGGAATTTCCCTTTTAAAAAGGGAAACATTGACAGCTATGAGCCTACCTCAAAAGAAAGTTGTGAGGCCAAAATGGGATCTCCCACTCTGTTCAGTCTCAAGGACCTTGCAGGAAGGTGATAAAATAATAAATAAGCACTCATATTTTGGGTTGTCTCCAACGCATATTTTAGCTCTACTAATTTGGAAGGGGGGAATCTGGGATATTTAACTGTTTTAAGCATTGCTCAAATGTTGGGTGCTTTCTGGGTGGCAAGGAGAGCGCTGGCTTATTCTTAGCGTTAGCTTTAATCCTGCACAGTAGTCAGCGATGCAGTCTATTCTCCAGATGTTTTGAACTACAAGGTGCTGGAGAAAGTTGTCATCCAAAGCATCTGGAGCATACCAGGTTGGCATAATGTGTAGCAGAATCTGCAATGGACGGAGCCCTTCGGATGTTTCTGGAGTCCCCTCCCTCTTTTTTCTGCAATTTATGTATTTATTTATTTTGTTCTGTTCAATCATCGTTCAAAAATTAATTTAAGAACATACAAAACACACTCATAAATAAATATACCATATATATATATATATATATATATATATCATCTAGCATGAAGAGATTATGCTCTCTCTCTATATATATATAGAGAGAGCATAATCTCTTCATGCTAGATGATGCAGATGTTCATTTTCTTCCAATGTGTCAATAGTATCCCAGCACTCTCTGTGGTATCTGATCTCACTTTCCTATCATACACCTCACTGCTGGATCCCATTTCCTTGTGCAATATTTTTTGTGAATTTGTCATCAAGGCAATGAGTTTTATACTAATGTCCCTGCTGCTCCCAAATTTCATTGAACAGTTTGGCCTTACATTTGGTTACTTTCCCTCGTTTTAGCAAGCACATACTTTAGCAAGGAAATATTAGCAAAATATTAGCCAGCAATCAGTTTGAGTCTATCAGGGCTGTCTATCAGCAGCTGTAAATCCCTAAGGGCAACCTTCCCAACCCTGGCATCTTCCAGATGTCTTGGACCACAACTCGGCTGCTGGCTGGGGCTGAGGGGAGGTGTATTCTGAACATCTGGAGGGCACAAGCTTGGGGAAGGCTGCCTTAGACATGCCCTCGCAGGATGGCCAACAGGAGAGGCACCTGGCACCAGTGTACGGAAACACTTTTAGAAGATGAAATCGGACCACTTTCTCTGCCTTGTCTTCTTCCATTTTCAGTGGCTGGTTGAGACATCGCCTCAGTCAACCTTCAGCAAAAAAAAGCTCCTCTTTTTCTTCTAAATCCAAAAACTGGGAGGAATGCATATCAGGCACATCAGGTTTCCTTTAAGAAAGCAATCCTTTAATCTATTGTGTGCGGTTCCCCAACCTGGATTCTGTTTATAGTGCAGATCCGTTGTTTGGGCCTGCCCTGGGACCTCCGCATTAGGGATTGTTCTTGCAAAAGACAGGAAATTCTGCGGGGCTTGCTGTTTGTCTGTAGCAAACATCTCCCCACCCCAGCCCTGCCCCCACTGGGTGCCCCCCTGGAGGTAGCAGGCAGGGTGCCAAATAATTTGTTGTCATTTAATCGTTTAGTTGTGTCCGACTCTTCGTGACCCCCTGGACCAGAGCACACCTGGCACTCCTGTCTTCCACTGCCTCCCGCAGTTTGGTCAAACTCATGCTGGTAGCTTCGAGAACACTGTCCCACCATCTGGTCCTCTGTCGTCCCCTTCTCCTTGTGCCCTCCATCTTTCCCAACATCAGGGTCTTTTCCAGGGAGTCTTCTCTTCTCATGAGGTGGCCAAAGTATTGGAGCCTCAGCTTCAGGATCTGTCCTTCCAGTGAGCACTCAGGGCTGATTTCCTTCAGAATTGATAAGTTTGATCTTCTTGGAGTCCATGGGACTCTCCAGAGTCTCCTCCAGCACCAGAATTCAAAAGCATCAATTCGGCGACCAGCCTTCTTTATGGTCCAGCTCTCACTTCCATACATCACTACTGGGAAAACCATAGCTTTAACTATACGGACCTTTGTCAGCAAGGTGATGTCTTTGCTTTCTAAGATGCTGTGCCAAATAATATACCCGTCCAACTGTTGCAATATGCCTACAGGGTTTCTCAAACTCGGGTCCCTAGCTGTTGTTGGACTACAACTCCCATCATCCCTAGCTAGCAGGGGAAGTTGGGAGTTGTAGTCCAACAACAGCTGGGGGGGACGATGACCCAAGTTTGAGAAACACCATAGGCTTTCCCAACCTGCTGCCCTCTGGGTGCTTTGGAGTACAACTCCCATCAGCCCCAACAAACACGGCTGTGCTGATAGGAGTTGTAGTCCAATACATATAGCAGACTCGCATGGCAGGGGGTTGGACTAGATGACCACTGGGGAACGCCTTCCGACCCTCCGCTTCTGTGGCAATGCGCATAAATGCAATGCAGTTGCTTGGAACGGGCTCCCTCGGGGCGCTCGCTTCGCTGGAGGTTTTTAAGCAGTGGTTGGGTGGCCATCTGTCATGATGCATTACAGGGGGTTCGGATGGATGACCTTTAGGAGTCCCTTCCAACTCAATGATAGTGCAAGATAGTGCGCACCCCGGAAATGATCTCTTTCAGCTTCTGCCTTCTGGAAGAAGGTACAGGGGTTATTAAGACGAGGACTAGCCGCCTGAGAAACAGTTTCTATCGAAATGAAATTTTGGTTTTAAACGCAGTGTAAGGTAGTCTTTGGGATGCGGGTGGCGCTGTGGGTTAAACCACAGAGCCTAGGGCTTGCTGATCAGAAGGTCGCCGGTTCGAATCCCCGCGACGGGGTGAAGCTGTACGCCGGCTCCCTTGGCCAGTAAAGCGAGATGAGCGTGGCAACCCCAGAGTCGGTCACGACTGGACCTAATGGTCAGGGGTCCCTTTACCCTTTACCTTTAAGGTAGTCTCTGTGGGAATATAGTGTATTCAATTATGGGGTATCAGAGTTTGTTGGTTTTTGAATGTCTGATGTAGATGTTTTCAATTTCGTTGTTCTGTATGGGACAATGACAATAAAGATTATCATATCATATCGTATCGTATCGTATTCTTCCCCAGTGCCGGGAGGTGATGGCTTCCTCATCAGGAACGCCCGTTTGCAAAAGTGCGTCCACGCCTCGTCCCACGAAATCGGAAGGGTTGGTCTGGCCGACTGCAAGCCCCAGTCTGCGCAATATCACTGGACCTGGGATGCCGCCACCCGGGCCATAGTCCACTGGAAGACCGGGCTGTGCCTGACGGTCCCCAAAGCCCAGGAATTTGCGCCCGCTCAGCTGGAGTCCTGCGGAGGAGACAGGGCGCGCCAAGCCTGGGTTTGCAGCAGGAAAGGCCACCTCACTTTGCAAGGCCTGGGGCTTCACCTCAGCACCAAGCAGGAGGGACACAAGGCCTTCCTGGCCCGAGAGAAGGACAAGTTCAGCAGGTGGAAGACGGAGACGGAGGAGATTGTCTGCGCTGCAGACCTGGCAGCAGCCCCTGTGCTCAGCATCCCAGTGGAGGAATTTGTAGACCCCCAGGTGTGGGTCCCTGAAGGTAAGGCAAGAGGGATTCACTTGCAGAAAACCGCTCCCATCCATAACCAGGAGCTCTCTTTTCCCCTCGCCACTGAATGTGGTTATTGCACTTAGAAACAGCACTGTATTGCTGCAGCTAGGTAAACCCAGCAATGCATGAGGTGGGAAACTGCATCGTGAGGAATAATAATAATAATTTATTTATACCCGCCCATCTGGCTGGGTTTCCCCAGCCACTCTGGCAGCTTCCAGCAGAATATTAAAATACAATGGTTCATCAAATGTTAAAAGCTTCCCTAAACAGGGCTGCCTTCGAATGCCTTCTAAAAGTCCGTTAGTTGTTTATTTCCTTGACATCTGGTGGGAGGGTGTTCCACAGGGCGGGTGCCACTACCGAGAAGGCCCTCTGCCTGGTTCCCTGTAACTTTGCTTCTCGCAGTGAGGGAACCGCCAGAAGGCCCTCGGAGCTGGACCTCAGTGTCCGGGCTGAACGATGGTGGTGGAGATGCTCCTTCAGGTATACAGGACTGAGGCCGTTTAGGGCTTTAAAGGTCAACACCAACACTTTGAATTGTGCTTGGAAACGTCCTGGCAGCCAATGTAGGTCTTTCAGGGTCAGTGTTATGTTGTCCCAGTGGCCACTCCCAGTCACCAGTCTAGCTGCCGCATTCTGGATTTGTTGTAGTTTCTGGGTCACCTTCAAAGGCAGCCCCACATAGAGTGCATTGCAGTAGTCCAAGCGGGAGATAACCAGAGCATGCACCACTCTGGCCAGACAGTCTGCGGGCAGGAAGGGTCTCATCCTGCGTACCAGATGGAGCTGGTAGACAGCTGCCCTGGATACAGAATTGACCTGCGCCTCCATGGACAGCTGTGAGTCCAGAATGACTCGCAGGCTGTGCACCTGGTCCTTCAGGGGCACAGTTACCCCACTCAGGACCAGGGAGTCCTCCGCACCTGCCCGCCTCCTGTCCCCCAAGAACATGGATTGCCCTCATATCCCTCTCTCTCCCCCCCCTTCCAGATAAAACTACTGCGTTGTCAGAGATCGGCACCTCCTTTATAGACACCAGACCCACGTCTCCAGCCATCGTTGAGGAACCTAATATCACCAGCAATCTTCCAAAGAACGAAGATGTCATCCTGGAAGCAGATGACGGTGAGTACGACAAGCAGGGTGGGGACTTCAGCCTGAAGAACAAAGGACCATAGGATTGCAGAGTTGGGAGGGAACCTGAGGATCATCTAGTCCAACCCCCTGCAATGCAGGAATATGCAGCTGTCGAACCTGCAACCTTGGCATCAGCACCATGCTCTAGTCAGCTGAGCTACCCATGCAGGATAAAGCAAATGGTCCCAAGCAAGCCAGAGCTTCCCGTTTCCAACAGCACTTAGGGGACTCTCCTCCAGGGCTTGCAGGAAACAGCTCTCCTCAGCAACTGGTATTCGGAGGTAGACTGCCTCTGAACCTGGAGGTTCTATTTAGCGACCACAGTTAATAGTCAGGGATAGACGTGTGCTCTTCTATGGGTTTGTGTAATCCTCTTTCAAAGCCATGCAAGCCAGTGGCCAGCACTGAATTAGATGATTCTGAATTAAGCATTAATTCTGGGCGCCTTCCAACAGAAAATAAAACAACGCAGCAGAACACCTGTCACATTAAAAGCTTCCTGAAACAGGTCTGCCTTCAGATGTCTATCGAATATTCATCTCCTTGACATCTGACAGGAGGGCATTCCACAGGGAGGGTGCCACCACTAAGAAGGCCCTCTGGCTGGTTCTCTGTAACGTCACTGCTTGCAGTGAGGGAACCGCCAGAAGGGCCTCGGAGCTGGACCTCAGTCTCCGGACTAAATGCTGGGAGTAGAGATGCTCCTTCAGGTACACAGCACAAAATCTGGCAGAAAAAGAGCTATTAAGCTGTCCTCCTTGCTTGGATTTAACATGTGCAATTTCAACCAGCCTGCCTTCACACACGTATGGTTGGAATCGTGCAAGCTGCATGCATGTAAGGTGCAATTGTATTGTAAGTATCGCTCTGCTTGTGAAAAACCTAGCTCACCAGTATGTAGGGTTCTGTAGGCTGCCCTAGACTATCATGGTTTTTAACAGGGGCGTCCTCCAACACGTAGGGACGTGGGTGGCGCTGTGGGTTAAACCACAGAGCCTAGGGCTTGCCGATCAGACGGTTGGAAGTTCGAATCCCCGCGACGGGGTGAGCTCCCGTTGCTCGGTCCCTGCCCACCTAGCAGTTCGAAAGCACGTCAAAGTGCAAGTAGATAAATAGGTACTGCTCTGGCGGGAAGGTAAACGGCGTTTCCGTGTGCTGCTCTAGTTTGCCAGAAGCGGCTAAGTCATGCTGGCCACATGACCTGGAAGCTGTACGCCAGCTCCCTCGGCCAATAAAGCGAGATGAGCGCCACAACCCCAGAGTCGGTCACAACTGGACCTAATGGTCAGGGATCCCTTTACCTTTACCTCCAACACGTGAATAGTGCATTCGTGGTGGATTTACAGGTATACTGGACCTTCCACACATAATTTCGCTCTCTCCGTTGCTCTGCAATGCTTCTTCCGAGTTACTGCATTATTGCCATTTGCAGGCAATAGGGATGGAAGGACTTGCCCTTTGCATTTCTCTCCATTTCTTATCTTTCCAATTTTAATTTCAGTTCTCCCCATTTCAGGAGCAAACTGCGATTTTAAAAACCCTCGTGAAAATTCACCAGCGTTTTAGTGCAAAGTTCTCCAAGGAAACACATTTTTGTACGTAGTTTTGAGTGACGTACATATTTCTGCAAACAGTTTCCCCTAACATAATGTATTTTTGTAGGTTATTTTCACTACAGGGCCGATTAAAGTTGAACCTCCTTCAGGTAGACTATTATAGGAGCAGGAGTCCTGGTCACCCTAGTGTGATTTCTTGCCCTCCTCCTCACAGTACCTGCCTGGGCTCCCCGGCCTTGTTCTTGCTGAAATAGCCAATCTACACCCCGTGAATTGCATGCGGCACCTCACAGGAGAGAACACTCTTCCATACAAAACAACAACAAAACAAAAATCCCTGCACACGGAAGACTAGCATGCCAGGGACACTTTTCCCTGACACACTGTTTTTCTATCTGCATGGATATTTTTATTTTTTTATGGAGGAGGGCATGCCTTTGGTAGCACCCTGAAGAAGCCAGGTACGTAGCCCACCCAGAGGTTGACCTTTGCAGTGACAACAAATCCTGAGTGTAGCTGACCTGGAAACAAAGGTGCAGAGGCGAGCGAAGATCGCAAGATTTTCTCTTCTTCCTCCGAATCCTTTAGTTTCATTCTCCCTCTTTCTCTCCTTGCCAGAAAGGCACATGCCTCATAAGAAACATCAGAGGAAGGGTGCAGCTCCCCGATCTACAGGTATGATGGATAGCGAGTGGAAAATGGAATATTCACTGTAGTTACTAGTCTTTTGAAACAATAAATAAATAAAAGCCCGTATTAAATTCACAAACACAAAATGTGGTATTAGCCACTGGCCTGGATGGCGCTAGGATTAACTGAACTCAACAGGGAGCTTAGTAGAGTGTGCTGGTCCCGGGGGTAAGATACCGTGGGTGTAGCAGAGTCCACACGAAGAGGGGTGAGGTCCGAGGCGGAGAGCCGGGCGGGGAACAGGAACGCTGGAACAGGAGGCTGAGCAGGGAACAGGAACACCGGATGGTCGGGAACAGGAAGCCGAGCAGGGAACAGGAGTACCGGATAGTCAGGAACAGGAGGCCGAGCAGGGATCAGGAACACAGGAAGGTCCGAAGCCAACAACGACGTTGCTCCCGCAACCTGGGACCGGGCTGACTGGGCTTTTATCCTCTTCTAAGGCCAGGGGCGGTCCCGGCCCCCAGGAGCCCCGCCTCCTCTGGCCTTAAGGCGAGCACTCCTCCTGGGGGCAACCAGTTCCCTTCGCCTCTCTGCCCTAAGCCTCTGCAGATCAGGAGAGGCCGAAGGGTTACTGGGCCCTGGAGGAGGCTCACCTGTGGCCACTGAGTCGTCAAGCCTCTCTGGGGCCAGAAGGGCTTCACCTGGGGCCAGCTCCTGATGCACTGCCACAGGTGCAGGCTCTTCAGCATCTAGGCCTTGCCCCAGTTCAGCCGGCCCTGGAGGCGGGGACTCCTGTGCAGGCTGGGATTCCTCTGTTTCATCCTCCGAATCGGAATCCCAGGCCATCACATAGAGCCTCCCTGGACAGAGACACTGTACCCTGAAATACAAAGCCACATGCCCTCATAGCTGAATTTCCGGGGTCTGTACGTCAGTTTTGGGTGGGGTCTCCCAGAGGGAGCCAGATGGGCAGGGTATAAATAATAAATTATTATTATTATTACGCACACATTCAGATACACCCATTCTCCTCCGTAATGCACATCCATTCATTGACTCTCCGCTCCTGCCTCCCCATATCTCAGAAATCCAGCTTGCAGGGAAAACCGTCTGGGAGCCCTTCTACACAACCCCTGCTGCAATTTCACAGAATCATAGAATTGCTGGAAGGGATCCCGGCGGTCATCTAGTCCAACCCCCTTCAATGCAGGAATCGCAGCTAAAGATGGCTAATCCAACCTCTTTATAAGAACCTCCGATGAAAGAGAGGCAGGCCATTTCCCCAAATATTCCCCACCCACCCAGGTGTACGAGGAAACCGCCTTAAGATGGTAATACAGGAGATGTGGGAAGAGCACAGGAATGATGCAATTAAACATACAGGGTGCGATGCACTTTCAGGGACCAACTGGAAGACGGTCATACTTGTCCTGAGCCCGCTGGCCTTTATCCTGGGAGTGACAATCCTCATTCTCAATATCCGGTACAACAGGTAAGAGGACCATTCATCCCACAGTGTTGCTGTCTCGCCAGCAAAGTCTCTGGTTTGCTCTGCTTTCTCTTCTCTGCATCACGAAGGCCCTGGCTTCAGATTCTGCCTCCTCTGCTGTAAGTTCCCCCCTTCCCTCCATGGCCTCAGGCTACAATGTGGGAGCAAATAACGCTGACCCCCCCCCCATGGCTGTTGCACAGATTGCAAGAAGATATTATCTGTTGAGTGCTTGAGCTCTCCAAAGCGCCATAGGAATACCAAGCCAGAACACCTTACTCTAGGTGCGCCCGCTTGATCACTTTGATCTGCAGAACTGGCACTATTACACGTGCCACATATTACCTGTTCCGCATTTGTAAGAACTCGATCGCTTAGTGTTGGACTTTGGAACTCCTTGCCTCTTGATATCAGGCAGGCGCCTTCACTGCACTCTTTCCGGCATCAGCTAAAAACATGGTTTAGACAAAACTACCCAGAAAGTTGATGCGAGTTTTAATGCTTTTAGTCTACAGGTAACTCACATCTTTCAACTGTTTTACTTGCATGATCGCAGTTTTGCACAGGTGGGGGGAATAAATAAATAAATGGAGAGTGGAGGAAACCCACTCTCGTTATTTGTTTCACCCCAGAGCCCTCACGCTGCCTCCCCAAAGTCTTGCACGGGGGCCAGTTCCAAGGGTTCCTTACTCTACATGTTTTTGCATATACATTTGGACCCCCTAAACTGAACCCTCGTGTAAGATGCGAGTTAACACTATTGTTCTTTTAACAATTTCACAATCTTAAATTGTTATTAATTCTTCTTGATAATTTTCTTTCTTTTTGCAAACTGCTGTGAGGGCTTTTCTTTTAAAAACAGCCGAGCGGTGGTATGCATTTTATAAAACAGAATAAAATTTAAATTATGCAGTGACCAAAACCACCAGGTTGCAAAGAGTGGAGAGTTTGGTGGTAACTGCAGTGGAGACACTTCTCTACTGGCATTTCTTAAGAGTTTTAAGAGGAGCTCTCATTTTTTAGTAATTTTTTGCTTTGAAAATAACCAAGCCTGCTGCCCTGATAATCAGGATTGGGGAAACCTAGTCAGATGGTCAGGGTACAAATTAAATTATTGTTATATTTCAAATGGATCAAAGCTGATTAATCAGTTTTAAGTTCATGGCTGCCATAAATTGGCCCCACAGAATATTCAAGACGCCACTTGCCATGTTCACTTGCCTAATAGGCCTCACAGGTACTGTGCAAATACCATTCTGGGTCTCTCAGTAATTTCGAAGCATAACCTGCTGCTGCTTCCTGATTTAGGAAGAAGCGGAAGCAGAAGCTGTCTCCTCTGAAGACCTGCCGCGTGGTTCACGAGGAGCGGCCACCCTTACCTAGGGCACCTAGCCCCAACCCCAAGGGGCAGATCATCCCAGCGTCCCCCACTCCTTCGCTGAAGCATGGCGAAATCTTGATCGAATGGAAAGATGGGACCGTCACACCGCTCTTCGACAACATGAACTATCAAATATGCTGAACGTGACGGGCGCTGACTGAAAGCAAGCGTTTCTGGCAGGGCTTGTTTGACTAACAGTCCTGATAAAAAAGCAGGTCACCTCGAGATAATTTCCTTAACAATCACATCTGCACTGCACAGCTACGCAGCTAGGCACAGAGCTTTGCTTTGTCTCAAAATGTACAGCCGGGGTTGCCTGCATTAAGAAACGGCCGAGGGGCTAGGCTAGGCTGCTGCTCTGAGATGGTACGGTCCTCACACAGGGGATGTATTTGCATGAAATCTAATTCTGGATCAGGCAGGTTAGTTATCAAGCATATCTGGCACCCCCATGTGGCTGGCAGGTATGTCAAGATGGCATCTTCCCATCTCATGCTACTGTGGTACATTCCTCCCACTAGAACCAGTCAACCTCAGAAATGCAAGTATGAAATCGGCCTCTGAAAGGACCACCTCAATGGAGATTGTTTGCGTCACACTTCAGGTCCTTGTGCTTCTTACTGTCTGACTGCAAAGGGCTTTTTCCAGTCCTCACTGGGTGTGGCGTACCTGAGACAACAGCGGAGAGAAGGGTTGGGATACCTGTGCCCATGTCGGACCTAAAAGAGAAGGACAGCAGCAACAAACAAGAACCAGCTTTTTGTGCAAGGTCACCTTGGGGCAATCTTTGCTCACCCCAGGCGAGCAGCTTGTTTGCAAGCAGCGAAGGAGCATTAGAATGCAGCTGTATATAGAACTTTGCATTCAGCTAACACGGCCCTTTCTGGGAGGCTAACAAACACGGTCTCCTTGGCTATGGCTTAGCTTCTAATAAGGACATACCAGACATTACAGAATGATGCAGGGATGTTAGTTCCTTGTCTGGAAGGTTTTCACTCTCCAGGTCTTCTCTAACCCAGTGCCTTCCTGATGCTTAGGGCCACACCTCCCATTATCACTCACTATTGGCCACGGCTGCTGGGAGATAGTGCCCCAAACCTATGGGAGGGCACCAAGTTGGAGAAGGCTGCTCAGGAAAAAAGAGGTTTGAGGGAAAGCTGAGTGATGAGCAGCCCCTTGGGCAAGAGGATGCACAAGGGAGAGTGAGCTGTTCTTAAGGACTCTGTAGCTTGCTTTACTCATGTCTGGTTTTCAAAGGCAAGCTGTGGCTCCCGAAAGCAGTGTGCAGTATTAAAACCATAGTGATACAATGACATCCTTAAAAAGAAAAAAAAAAGCAATTGAATTCTACCGTGCATGACACGCATTCCTAGTCACTCTCGGCAGATATTAACTGGAGCATGCTGCTGCTCCCAGCTCGATTGTTCTGAATGTCACTAACACCAGCCCGGTACCCTCTGCCTTCATTCAAGCGGCTTGTTTTAAACCAGGCTCAAAATAAAGGACTAAACCTGAATGGGGATTCTTTATTTTTAAACAAAAAGCACACATCCACACACAGAGAATTGATCATGTGACACGCTAGTTTTGTGCGATCACTGTACAAGGGCTTTCCTGTTCCTGACATGGATTTTCCTCAACTCACTGTAAACTAAGTGGAGTCCAGTGGCCTACAGGCAAGATCTGACTTGACCTGTGGGATGAATGGATGGACTTCTGCCCAAATTGCAGTACTGCAGTAGCACTGGGGACAGCATTGGTGCAGAGAGGACATCTGTGCCACACACAGGAAAATTATCATGCTCTTGAGCTTCTATGCTTTGTCAGAAAGGGGGGTGTGTGTAGCATCGCGATCATGCCCACACGTATTATTTTATTTTTATATCCCGCCTTCTTCCCTCCAAGGAGCTCAAGGTGGCGTACATGGTTCTCTCCTTTCCCATTTTATCCTCACCACATCCCTGTGGGGTAGGTTAGGCTGAGACGCAGCAAGTGGCCCAGCGTCACACCCAGCAAGCTTTATGCCCGAGTGAGGATTTGAACCCTGGCCCTAGCCGGAAACTCCAGCCATGATACCAGTCCTGGCTCAAAGGCAACGATGGAAGCCCACAAAGGCGTTAAGACAAGGATTTTGGGGTCAGGAAAATGGCTAGGTTTGCCTACGTGAAAACTCTCTATCTCACAAATGGGCAAACTGCTTGTGGCCCTTGCAGGACTTCAGCCTGCCAGGGTGGGTTTCTCATATGTGACTAATTTGTCCCTGCTGCTGCTGCTGCTACAAGTTTATACAAATGCATAAGACACTGCCTTGCTGGATCAGACCAGAGGTCCATCTAGACCAGCATTCTGTTTCCAAACGACACACAAATGCCTCTAGGAAGCTCACAAGCAGTCACAATGTCGACAAGTGTGTCTCTCTCTACCATTTGCTGCCTGCCTCTGAAGCTGCCACTTAGTTAGCATGGCTAGCAGTTCTTGATAAAACTCTCCTCCATGAACATCACTGAGCGCCACAAACTGTAGGTTGCATCCAGACCCTGTTTCGCCAATTGTCAATGCCCAGTATAAAGGCTCAGCATATAACTTATAGAGGCTGTTTTGAATTCTGCTCGCGCTAAACATCCCTCTCTAAGAATTCGGTGTGTGTGTGTGTGTGTGTGTGTGTGTGTGGAAACATCCATGCTTTAAGTAGCTTGACATAATTAAAGTGCATCTTTTAAGATTTTTGCATTTTCCCCCTAGTATTCTGCTTTTATTTTTATGGAATCGTCAGTTAAACTTTCAGCTAAAAAAAACAAAACAAAACCCCATTCCTGCATCCCCTGGAGCAGTGTTCCCCAACCTTGGGCCTCCAGCTGTTTTTGGACTACAATTCCCATCATCCTTGACCACTGGTCTTGCTAGCAAGGGATGGTGGGAGTTGTAGTCCAAAAACAGCTGGAGGCCCAAGGTTGGGGAACACTGCCCTGGAGCATTCAGCCCTTGGAGCAAAGAAAGTTGTGTGCTTCCCTAAAGGCGCCTTGCATGTCCTTGAACTCTGCAAGCCTGCAAGCCTCATTGAGGGTCAGCCAGCAAAAGGCCTGGTGCTCCGATGAGAGCTTGACCTCTGTGTTGTTGTCCTTCATTTCAGCCAGCCAGTAGATGACGGTTTTGGCTTTGCCATTCACAGTGTAGTTCAGCTCCTTTTTAAACCCGTCAACGATGGTGAACTGAGTGGAGTCCAGTCCAGCCTCTTCCTGCGTCTCCCGGAGGGCAGTCTGCAAGTCATCTTCCCCAGGATCAACATGGCCTGACACGAGGAAAGGAAAGAATTTTCAGGAAAGCAAAAACAAGGGGCTATGTTTTTTATCTCCTCCTGACACTTGGTTCTAGAATACTTTTTATGTTGTCACAGAAAAAGGAAGTGTTTTGTGGTTGGCTCCAAACATCACCATGCTTTACTGCAGAGCTGCCTGCATTTAATGTGTCTCCGACATATTTACAGACCGCCTTATCCTCAGGGCTTTGGACAGGTAGCAAGCAAAGTCAGAACCATTCTAAATCAACACTTTCCAGATTTAAATCTGAGCACCAAAGGCCAGTCTAAACAGAGGAAGCTGCCTTGCGCCAAACCAGACTATCTGCAAATCCAGCTCAATTCTTTTCTACCCTGATAGTCAGAAATGGCTCTCCAGGCTCCTTCTCAGCACTTGCCACCTGATACTTTTTTGAAATGGGAGATTCTGGGATTGAGGCTAGGATGAACAGGGGCTTTCTGCAGGCCCACTATTTCCTTTTGACACACTTGCTGTCTGCAACTGACGCAGCAAAGGCCTACTGGGTCACAAGTAAAGAGACAGTACTTAAGGTGTGTCAGATCTAAGCCATTTATTCCCTGAAACATTAACTGGCAGCACATAAGCTGTGGCCTTTTAGAAATGGGCAAGATGTGTTTAATATATTTCTTTTTCATCTTGGTTTTAATGTATTTACGTGGGATGTTTTGTCTGTTTGGTTGTAAGTCACTTTGGGTTGCCCTGGGCAAGATAAAACAACAAATAGCTAGTTTGATGGATTAGATAGATCAATAGATAGTAAAGCAGTGATGGTCAACCTCAGCCATCTTGGACTCCAGCTCTTAAAAGCCCCAGCCAGGATGACTAAGAGTCAGGAACGATAAGAGTTGTAGTTTGGCAACATCTGAAGGGCCACAGATTAGTCATCCCTGAGTTTAAGGTTTGCAATGGTCACCAGTGCAAAAACAGGAATATCACTGCCATAAAATTAAGGAAAATGCTACACTTAAGTTATTTTGAGGAAAGTGAGTAGGGCTGGGCAATATATCGATATAGCCAAAACCGGTTTGAAGTCCGTATCATGATATTGGTTTCATAACTTTTTACCTAGCGATATATCATGAATGTGTGGGATTGTTATGCAAAAATCACAATGCTGTATGGGGGGAAACCGTAAAGTCAGCCAGTGCCTCTGCACAGCTCTATGCGTATCTCAGACACTGTTATATATCAGGGTGTCGTGATGTTTAGCTTGTGATATATCGTGATGTTGAAAACCAGGTATTGCCTGGCCCCAAAAGTGAGTTGAACATGGGGAAAAGCACATCTGGAGAAGGCAGCTATCCTTGCCAGCTACACCATTATTTCTAACACAAAGATCCCATTTTCAGTCAGGTATAAATATAGCCTGTTTTCAAGCTAGCTTTAGCATTCCCTGAGAAAAGTCAGCCTTTGCTTTCACACAGATATATTACGGACAGAAATATAAACACAGCAATCCACATGGGGTCTAAGAAAAACAAAGGCAACATAAATAATGCCTAGGCCAGAGCTCCTACCCTGAAATATCATAAACAGCCAGCCAAGGAGTCTTATCTGTAACACAGCGACTCCAAGAGCAGTTTCCAGGAAGCAACAGTCCAAAGAAGACTCAAGAGTCAAGGGGAAAGGACTTCTGAAGTCACAGCAGAACGGCATGTATCACACTATGTCAACATTATTATTATTCACTTGCAAAATACAAGAAAAACATGTACTTGTCTTAAAATACAGATGATTTAATTCAGGCATAGGCAAACTCGGCCCTCCAGATGTTTTGGGACTACAATTCCCATCATCTCTGACCACTGGTCCTGTTAGCTGGGGATCATGGGAGTTGTAGTCCCGAAACATCTGGAGGGCAGAGTTTGCCAATGCCTGATTTAATTCCTTGACCAGTTGACAGCCCTGTTGAGAATCTCTCTGAAGTTGCTAGATACCATAAAAACTTATAACCCACCTTTCGGAGGGGTCCAGTGATGAGACCCATAGGACGTCTGCAGGAGAAGGTACTCAATGTTGTTCCCAGCAGCAGAAGCAGACGATGTCTCACGCAGCTTCCTGAAGATAATCAAGCCACATGCTCTCAATGACATGATTGTCCTATCCAGAAAAAAGTACAAATGAGAGGTATTAGTAAGTGCAAAGTCGTGGTAGTCCTACAGTGAGCCAAAGTAAGGATGGGTGGGACCGGAGAGGCTAGACCTGTGGGTCACTACGAAACTCCGTATCTGACCATTAGCCATGTGAGTTGTAGTCCAAAACATCTGGAGGGCACAAGGTTGGGGAAGTCTGCTTTTGAGTGTTTAGCTGATCATTCTTAAGAATCTTCCTAATTTCACAGGGTTCCTGATTTTGGGGCAGGGGCTTCTAAGTTCTTCTAACAATCCTCCTAAAGAACTTCCTACTCAAATGCAGAAATGCCCTGATTGGAGCAGGAGGATCTGGCATATTCAGGGACACTGGGGTTGGCAGTTGTGCCCCACAAATCCAATATACAGTGGTGCCCCGCAAGATGAACGCCTCGCAAGACGGAAAACCCGCTAGACGAAAGGGTTTTCCGTTTTGGAGGCGCTTCGCAAAACGAATTTCCCTATGGGCTTCCTTCGCAAGACGAAAGCCCATAGGGAAATCTCCGGGACAGCGGGGAAGCGCAGCGCGTCTTCCCCACTGTCCTCGGACCTCCTCCGAAGGCTGGCGGCGGGGCGGAGAGACCTCCACCCGCCGCCAGCCTTCGTTTCTCCGCTATCCCGGACGGCTTTTGAAGGCAGGCGGGGGGGAGCAAAGACTTTCGCCCCCCGCCGGCCTTCAGAAGAGGTCCAGGACCTCTTCTGAAGGCCGGCGGGGGGCAAAAGTCTTTGCTCCCCCCTGCCTGCCTTCCCGAGGGCTTTTAAATCGCCCCGGACAGCGGAGAAGTCCTCCGCTGTCCCGGGGTTTTTTAAAATGCTGGCGGGCGGCAGCGGAGGCTTCGCTGCCGCCCGCCAGCATTTTAAGATCGCCCCGGACAGCGGAGAAGTCCTCCGCTGTCCCGGGGTTTTTTAAAATGCTGGGGGTGGGAAGAAAAGCCCTTGTCCCCCCCCAGCCTTCAGAAGAGGTCGGGGGACAGACTGTCCCCGGACCTGGTCTGAAGTCGGTTTCCATAGGAACGCATTGATTGATTTTCAATGCATTCCTATGGGAAACCGTGCTTCACAAGACGAAAAACTCGCAAGAAGAAAAAACTTGCGGAACGAATTAATTTCGTCTTGCGAGGCACCACTGTAATTTATTCCACTGGGGTGGAAACCCTTCCAGTGCTTTATTTTTCCATGGAAGGTTTTTATTTATTAAATTTGCATACCATCCAAAGAGCAGAGGCAGTTCACAACATAAAATTACAAAATGAGAACACATAATACATTATAAAAGAAAAACAAACCAATAACACTCCTCTCACAAACATATTTAAAAGGTCATAGAATGTTAATCAGCCAAAGGGCTGGTTATAGAGAAATGTTTTTGCTTGGAGCCTAAAGATATATAATCTTGGGGAGAGCATTCCACAAATGGGGAGCCACTGCAGAAAAGCCCGTCTAGTGTTGCCATCCTTCACCTCTCTTGGGGGAGGCACACAAAGAAGTGCCTCAGATGATGATCACAGGGTCTGGGTCCGTTCATATGGGGAGAGGCGGTCCTGAACTGTTTTAAGGCTTTGTGTCAAAACCAGCTAATTGGTAGCTAGTGCAGCCAAGCCAGGATCGTTGCAAAAAAACCCCATCTTGTCCCAGTGAACAGTCTGGTTGCCAAAATCTACATAAGTTGAAATTTTCAAACCATCTTCAGAGGCAGCCCCACTTATAATGCGCTGCAGTAATCTAAACTAGAGATTAGGTAAAGGTAAAGGGACCTCTGACCATTAGGTCCAGTCGTGGCCGACTCTGGGGTTGCGGCGCTCATCTCACTTTACTGGCCGAAGGAGCCAGCGTACAACTTCTGGGTCATGTGGCTAGAATGACTAAGCCACTTCTGGTGAACCAGAGCAGCACACAGAAACGCTGTTTACCTTCCCGTTGGAGCAATACCTATTTATCTACTTGCACTTTGACTAGCTTTCTAATTGCTAGGTTGGCAGCAGCAGGGACCGAGCAACGGGAGCTCACCCCGTCGCGGGGATTCGAACCGCTGACCTTCTGATCGGCAAGTCCTAGGCTCTGTGGTTTAACCCACAGCGCCACAAGCGTCCCTTGCAAACTAGAGATTACCAGAGCAAAAATAACAGGCTGTCCCTGTCCATGTAGGGGCACAGCTGGGCTACTAGCCAAAGCTGATGGAAGGCACTCCTTGCCACTGAGGCCACTTGAGCCTCAAGCGACAGCAATGGATCTAGAAGCATCCCCAAGCTACAAACTCACTACTTCAAGAGCAGGCCATTTCTCATCAATCCAATCTAGGGAACCACCCACTTACAGTGCCTCAGTCTTATTTAGATTGGGCTTCATTAGTAACAACGAACAGATACCAACTGCAAATAAGATGTTAGACAAGATTGGCAGTCTTAAAGTTGCAATTAATGTTTTTTAGGTGATTATCCTTAACAAGCATGTGAATTAGCATATCATGCACCATTCTCTGGGCACCAGGCTGGTGCAGTACTAATGGAAAGATAAAGTCTTTATTTTTATGTATTTTAAGTAGGTCCCTCTCCTTCATTTTGCTGCTTTAAATTGCCTTGGTCGCAATCAAAACATGCTGCTTCCACCTCAAGCTGCATTACAACTATGATGGCAAATCATGATTACTGAACAATTTTAGATCAGACGGGTAGACGAGCGAGTCTGCTGCAGCCAGAACATCAGTCTTGCGACACTTTGAAGACATTAATAACTTTTAACATGGCATAAACAGATCACTTAATCAGATCCAGGAAGTGTTATACTGAGTTGAAGGCATTCATACCTACATTGTTGGAAGGGTTGTGTATGTGCAATTACAAAGTGGGGTCAAAAGGAAATGAAAACCAGAGAAGTACAGGGGATTATAATTGCACTATTAACCTTGGACATTCACTGTTAATTTGTTTACTGACTTTTCACTGGTCTGCATTTTCATTTACCTCTGATATCACTGATTACTATTCCCAAGACCAGGGCCTTGTGGTCCCTTCCAACCCTATAATTCTACGATCAACCATATTACCATAATTAAGATATCAATTAACAACATTGCTGTCATTATTAACAATAACATTGCTATTATTTGAGTATATAACTAAGTTGTGTGGAGCAAAAAAAGCAGTCATTAAGACATGAAGGAAATACTAGCTAAGTAAATAAATAAATTATGTAGAGCACCAGAATTATTATTCTGATAATCATAAATAAATAAGAATACAAATGTACAAACCCACCCCCAAAACCATTCCATTGTAACTATCCAACCTCCCAAAATTGCAACACCTCTTGCGATGGTTTGACCCCTTTTTAACAGTACAAATTCTTACAAACACCCTCTGTATCTCCTCAAAATCATTTCCCCTGCACATTCCCTATCTTAATGACACATGTTAATTTATCGTTAATAGCTATATCCCCCACCTCTTTATACCATTCTTCCATTTTATATTCTGCTTGCGCCTTCCTCTTCCTAGATAGGAATAAATTTGTGAGCAAGTCCTTCATAGGCTGCGAACCTTCCACCCCATCGTAAATTGATAATAATGTTACCTCTGGACTTTCGGTCAACTTTAACCCAGCGATTTCTATTATCTCCTTACAGGATTATTATTAAGATATTGAGCAAATAACAGACTTTGAGGTGAATAACTGCAAATTAATGAAACACGAGAATGCAGTGCTGCTGCTGTTGTTATTGAGATATGAAGCACGAGATCTTGATGAGTTATTGCTATTAATTCACCAGATTGTGAGGAGAATTATTAGGACTGTTTATTCTTAAAAAATCAGGTTATTATTATTTCTTAAGGTATTGAAGGAATATTCTGATTACGTGAAGCAGGAAAAGGAGCAGCTCAGGGGAGCGAGGACAGGCGCGCGGCCTTTTCCAGGCCGGCCTAGCGAGCGCTGACTGGAGCTTCTCCAACTTCCCCAACCGCGACCGCTTCCCTCACCTCGAGGCAGCCCGAATGGGAAGGAAATTTCCCTCACCAGAGCGCGCACTCAAATGGGCTTCCCCATTGGGCGACAGGCCTGCCAATCTTTCAGTCACCGCCGGCCTCAGCCCAATCACAACCCGCGGGTAGCGGCCCGAGGGAAGTCACGTGGCTGACCCTTGGCAACAGCGCCCGCCGCCGCGACTACGGAATCCAATCAGAAATCGGGAGGCGGTGCAATACGTCAAAGTCGAAGCACTATTGGACTTTTTTATCGCGATTGACGTGCGCCGGACGAATAGCAAAGAAGCATCCGCTTCCGTCTCATGCTGCGCGAACAGCCAATAGATGCTGACGCGCGGGAAGAGTGCCGCCTCTAGGATACCCGCTTCCCGCCTTTTTTTGGTCGCCTCTCCAATTGGCGAAGAGCGGGACTCCCCCCCTTGCTCAACGTCCTATTGGGCGGTTTGAGGTGACGTCTTGCGGCGCGACATACAGGCGCGAGTCTTTGAACGTAGGCTTGGCGGCGTCGCCATGGAGACGCGGCCTAGCCGGGCGGACGGAGCGTTCCCAGCGCACCCTGAGGGAGTCCTTAGCGGGGGTCGGACAAATCTGAGGAGGAGGGTGGAGACACGCGGCTGGAGATCCCTGGCAGAGGAGAAAGAGGCCCAGTTGCCGCATCCGTTCCCCGCCCCACACTCGGCTAGCTCCGACCTCTGCCCTGTTGCCATGGCGACGGGCTCGTAGAAGCGGGAGCGTCCTCCACGAGGCCTAGCGGCGGTTCAGGCCCTCCGCTTGTGAGAAGTTTCTGAGGAAAGTCAGGAGAGGCCGGCGCTGGTTTTGCGCTGCACCTGCCGGATCCCGCATATTCGTACAACCCTGTTAGGATAATACGCTTTTCGGATTTCGTTGGCCCTTGGGCCATTATTTAAATGTGCAGCCAGGCCTTGTTTTAAAACCAGTTTAAAATTTTTAAAGTGGGGGCATGGAGGAACCGACCTCGGATCTGAAAAGACTGACGGGCTGCCGTGCTTTCCCCCTCACATAACGTTTGGCAAGATTTTGGAGGCATCAGTTTTCAGCAGGTAATGCTCCTTGCACGTATCTCTGGTGCTGCCGTTTATCTTCAGTGAAAGCCTGATTTAAGGTTTGTTTTTGTTTTTTGTCTCCTTGTATTCCTGGCAGTTCAAGAAGGATTTTGTGCAGCCGTTTGTGCAAAATCCGAGCTTGCCTAAAGCGATAAACTCAGAAAATCCGAAATAACAAGTGGAGTCTGGCCTGGATGGTATGAAAAATACAAAATTCGGAAGAGAATGAAAATCAGCAGTTCTGAAAGACCTGGGAATATAAAAAGAAAAGAAGAAAAAGGTATCAAACTTGTTGTCTGGCAGATCTCCCTGGGGAAAGAATTGCAGAGCTGGTGGCATCACCACAAAGAAGGCTCTGCCATCACCTCTGCTTCTACTGGATACAAATAAGGTCTTAAAGAACCTATATTCATGGGCAAGTTCATGTGAGAGAAAGCACTCCTTATGATGCCTGGGTCTTTAGCTATTATCTGCCTTGTGGTGGTGGTGGGGAGCGGTTAGAGGGGTCACAGAGACCCAGGTTCAGATCCCCATGAAATATACTTTGTAGCTGGTCAACTCCCTCTCTCACCTAACACGGCATTGTTGAGAGCAAGAATTGAGTCCTGGGAGAAACGCTTATGCCACCCTGAGCAGGGATAGGGAGCTGAATATGGCCGGCAGGGCAAAGTCACCATGATGTCAGGTAATCTGTTTCCACTTGTGCAGATAATCAGTTGATTACCAGAGCTTGTAAAGCACCATGCTCTGCTGATCAGCTGGTTGTTGGTGCTTGCAAAGCACTGTGCCCGCAAGTCTGCAAATTCCCTTTAGCCCAGCTTGGTGTGGTGTAATGGGTAAGAGCGGTAGACTCGTAATCTGGTGAACCAGGTTCGCATCTCCGCTCCTCCACCTGCAGCTGCTGGGTGACCTTGGGCCAGTCACACTTCTCTGAAGTCTCTCAGCCCCACTCACCTCACAGAGTGTTTGTTGTGGGGGAGGAAGGGAAAGGAGAATGTTAGCCGCTTTGAGACTCCTTCGGGTAGTGATAAAGCAGGATATCAAATCCAAACTCTTCATCTTTACCTGCTCCACACCTGGTGTCATATGTGGTGGGTGTGGCTTGGCCAATAGGTTCACCAACCCTTTAAGAGAAATGGCAGGATATAACTGCCTTGTCTCTTCCCAATTCATTTCTCCTCCAGAATTTCTCAACACTGAGCAACGTTCTAGCATGGGGAAAGCTCTGCTTAGCACCAGCTGCAACTATGCAAATTGGGCTGGGGGGGGGGAGATGTGTGAATTCTGGGTAAACAGGTGCTGCCTTGTCGTAGATGGGACATTGCTTCTATGAGACTGACCTCATTTTGAGCACGCAATCTTTGTGCAATAATTGGAGATGAACAGGGCTGAGGCATTGTTTCTTGTAACCTCAGCTTGTATCGGATAATGCATTCCTATTTGGAAAAGCAAACAGGCTGAGTCTTTCTCCTCAGCATCTTCTAGGCTGCAGTCTTATGTACTGTGTTGCAGCCTAAAGATAGAGAGTGGATTCTATGCTGGGGTCATTCTGTTTATGGTTCTGTGTGCTTATACATGCCCAGGAATTACTGAAACGCAGCTGCCTTTGGGGAGGGGCCTTGCAGATACTTGAAAGCAGTGCTGTAAGCACATGTGCTTTAAGCTTTGTAGTGCCAAATTCTTTGTGTGGCACAGTTGGCTATACTGGCATACCATACTAAGCCTATTCCTGCTTCTTGCTGGGAGTCTCACCAGCGCTGTGCTTTGCAGTGTGCTGAGCTGCCCTATAAGAGGGAGAGAAGGTGTTATGGGAGGGGAGCGGCAGGAAGATTTGGGGCCTGCTGCAAAAGATCCAGGGCTCAGGATCTGGCACCTCCAACAATGTCCCACCTCCTTGGTTCACATTTTGAGGGCCATGGTAAGGCTGTGGGATCATAGCACCCTTGGTGGAAAGCCAGGGAAAGATAGGGAGTGATCTCTCCAGCCCTGTGGTGTGTCAGAGTGTGCCGTGCTTCTCCATCAGTGTTTTCTATGAAATAGGAAAGGTCAGTATGTGCTGAATGAATTCCCCATTCTGTTTGTTCACTGGTTTATCTTGCTGGGATTCACATTGTGTCCCGGTGCTCCTCTAAATTTCCTTTGGCATTTCAGTAACACATCACTTCAGTCTTCCAAGCAGTATACTGCTACGCTTCCTCCCAAGTAGATTTACTTTAGTGGATGTTTCTTTGTATGCCAAAAGGACTCATTCTCTGTCCTGAAGCATTCAGGCCTCCCTCCACCTTAGCTTGATTGTCGGGAAGACCCACATTGATCCTAGCGAGTGGCAGTAGGCGTCCCTTTCCTCGGCCAACAAATATGGCAAACTTTGAGAGGATCCTGCTTCAGTGCTGAGATTTGGACCTGGTGACCATAAGATGAATCCTTTCATCCCAATGGATGTTGCGTGAGACTTGTGCACTGAGGGGATTTTGCTTGCCCTTGATACCTCTTGCCCAACAGTCTGAATACTCGGTGCTGCCTTTGTCTGTGGGCAAACTCAGTAAAAAGCAGAATGCTCCTTGCATCCTCTCTGTTGTTCATTTGCTATGAGCTACAAATTGCAGCATAGCTTAAAAGCCCCATTAGAGCTTTGGAATGTCTTTCCCCCCTGAGCTGGAACAAGAACTTAGGCAGCTTTCCTCCCTCCTATCATTTCTATAACTCAAAAGGAAGAAGCTGGTTGCTATGTAACAGAAACCATTAACATGGCAACTGAAGCACAGGGAATGAAGTAATAATAGCTTCAACTGTGTAAAGACAGATTTCCTTTTATACAGAAACATAATGAAGAAAGCATTCTTGGATTTCTGAAAGCTTTCCTTGCAGGAAAGAATCGCGTGCAATTTTTAAATGATTAGCTGCCCACTATAACTCAGACTTGTTTTATTCACGTACCAGGAAAATGAGAAGTTTCCAGGAACCACAACAGCTGTTGTCTACAGCAGTTGTCGTACATCGGCTGTGGAGCAAAGGCTTTTTCACTGAGGTCATCAGGCTAAAATTAATGTGAAAGAATGATCAGAAAATGGATCAGGCTGCTGTATTTGAAATTAGTGATGAGAAAGAGTAGTGCTAACTGGCTAGCTTTTAGCCACAGTTACAAAGTAGGTTGTGATTTCATTTTTATTTGATAAAACTTTTATTAGCATTTTCAGTTTTACAGAACTATTTATGTAGGCAGTATGAAGAACTTAAAAGCACAGACTAGAGTTTGTGAGATTAAAAATAAATGAAAAATGAATGGATTAGAGAGATCCTGGATTGCTATGATTTGCACAGGCAGACACACACACACACACCAAGGGTGTAAAATATTTTATATGCTAAGGGAAGGGTAAGCAAACAATATTACTTTGTGGATTCCATTGGTAGCTTTCAAGGGGCAACAGTTTATGATCATCTGTGCAGTTGAAGATGGGCAATGATACTGTATTGGTAATAAGCTCTTCTCTTCCCACTCCCATCTCCGACTACATCAGGGTACCATTAGGTGAGGCAGAATATATATCCCCGCTACCCCTTTCAATGTAATGCTGGTCATGCTCCCTAATGTTGGGAATGCCCTCTTGGGTTCATCGGTTGGGTGCTAGGTTAGAGCTGGAAGGATCATACAGTGGTACCTCAGGTTACATACGCTTCAGGTTACATACACTTCAGGTTACACACTCCGCTAACCCAAAAATAGTGCTTCAGGTTAAGAACTTTGCTTCAGGATAAGAACAGAAATCGGGCTCTGGCGGCGCGGCAGCAGCAGGAGGCCCTATTAGCTAAAGTGGTGCTTCAGGTTAAGAACAGACCTCCGGAACGAATTAAGTACTTAACCCGAGGTACCACTGTATAGGGAGAGCTTCTCGGCTGCTTCTGTCAACCAGGGTTGTGCCCAGTGGTGTCCACACACATGCATACCACTTGCACACAGGCATTTCTCCCTCCCCCCTCCCCCAGTCTACAAATCTGTCATTTAGACAGAGTACCAGAAGATTCAAAATATAGTTCCTTTGTGAAGGGGATGTGGTGGAGCTATTTCACTGTGTCTGAACAAGGAAAGAATATTCTGCTTGGCTTTGTTGTTCCGCTATGTGCCCTGTGGCCACTTTGCACTAGAGTAAAACAGAGCAGAATAGAAAGCAACAGCTGCCCCTTGTGAAGCTGAAATTTATATCTGAGCAGCAAATTCCTCCCCACGCCCTAACCCAGATCCTCACCCTGGTGCCATTTATTCCTGTGAATGAATTTCCTGTGGGAAATGTATGAGCGCAGGAGGTGTAAATGATATTCAGCATGCATTATTAAATTTAAAGTGATTTTTTCCTGGAGGCCAGGGTTTTCTCTCTTTTGTACTTACATGGATATCATTGCCTCATGGGTCTATAGCATGGGTAGGCAAACTAAGACCTGGGGGCCGGATGCGGCCCAATCGCCTCTAATCCGGCCCATGGACGGTCCGGGAATCTGCGTGTTTTTACATGAATAGAATGTGCCCTTTTATTTAAAATGTATCTCTGGATTATTTGTGGGGCATAGGGAATTTGTTCATTTTTCCCCTTCAAAATATAGTCCTGCCCCCACAAGATCTGCGGGACAGTGGACCGGCCCCTTGCTGAAAAACTTTGCTGACCCCTGGTCTATAGCCAAATACTGCATTTACGTGATGTGATAAGTGGCTTTTCCCTTCTGTACCAGCAGGTGGCACTGAAGATAAGAATGTAGCTTTTTTCAATTATTATTTTAAAGAACTCCTGTTCTTTCCTCAGTGTAGCTGGAAATATATACTTGCTTTTGAGAAACGCTTTTTGCATTTTTAAGTGGGTGTCACAACAGTTAGGAAACAGATGAGGCCACAGGCCATGTTTTCAAACTACTGTTGTATAACAGATAGTGTTTGGGCGTAAAATTGTAATTCTTTTCTGCCATGAAATTTGCTGAACGGCCCTGGTGCCTAGCCTACCTTACAGGGTGGTTGTTAGAACAGATGGGAGATAGAATAGAATAGAGGGAGAAGGAGACCCATGTATAATGCTCTGGGGCCCTTGAGGATGGGTGGGATAAAAATGCAACACGTTGGATTAAGAGGCTGGAGTAAACCTGACCCATGATGGCTAGCTGCTCTCGAATACAAAATCCAGTGGCTGCAGTCCAGCTAAATTGTGAACAATGGGAATCCTGCCATTGGCTTCAGGGTAGAATGCTTCTTAAACCTGCTTTTTGCATAATAAATGGACCTGATTCTGCTTGTAGCTCAGAATTGATTCTCTCTGTCCCTGGTAGGTGGCGGCATGATCATTCAAACTCAACTGCTGAATTTCTAGATGTAGCATAACATTTTAAACGTCTATTTCACGACGTGAAATAAACATGTAGAGAATGGGGAAATGTGGGGTTTTTTACAGCCTTTTTTACAACCTGTTCTTATGCTTTGTTTGAAGCAGATCCCATTGATTTCTGTACGCCTAGTACTAGGTCTTAAAACCACAGTGTGTGCGTCCAGAATTGGTATTCTTGTAGATCAGGTGAATTTTCTTACTTATCATTTTTTATTTCTCCTAAATGCAAACTAAAATTTATGTGGCTAGTGCTCTCTGCATCTCATCATGTAGCAAGTGGTTCTGCCTTCTGGTTAGTTAAAACACGTTGTTGAGCTAGTGGTTGTTTTAGCCTCATTCTTCATAACTTGTTCCACCACCCCAGTAATGTTTAATCATCCTTTTGCCCATGTTTCTGGCCTCCCAAGTGCACAGGATATTACAGTGGTACCTCGGGTTACATACACTTCAGGTTACAGACTCCGCTAACCCAGAAATAGTACCTCAGGTTAAGAACTTTGCTTCAGGATGAGAACAGAAATCGTGCTCTGGTGGTGCGGCGGCAGCAGGAGGCCCCATTAGCTAAAGTGGTGCTTCAGGTTAAGAACAGACCTATGGAACGAATTAAGTACTTAACCTGAGGTACCACTGTATTAGAAGCACCTTTTCAGGTGCGCTTGTTGGATTGATTGCTTCAGTCTTACTTGGTTATTGGATTTTGACATTTTGGGGCTAGTTGTTTTGTTTTTTGTTTCTGTTTTTATTATGTTTTGCTGTATTCTGTTTTGTCTTGAAATCCACCTTGAGGAGGTTTTTTTCTTTCTTATTGCACGAAATTTATATACCACTTGATTGTAAAAATCACCCCCCCAAAAAAAAAGCCCTCAAAATGATTGCTCTGAAAGGTGACCTGAAAATATTGTGAATAAACAATAGAGCATTTGATTTCAGTAGATTCAGCTAACAATTTGCTTTTCTTCCAGCAAGTCTTCTTTCTTTAACACTGAATTGCTGGTGACTGAAATCATAATCAGTTGACAAAGCATGTATGAAGCTTTCAGCATTTGTTTGATCAAAAGGGAAATTTCAGCAAGAAACGATTGGAAGTTTTGTTTGGGGATTTGTGAGTTGCTATCAGATAATCAAATAATTTTAAGGGGCACGGGTGGCGCTGTGGGTAAAACCTCAGCGACTAGGACTTGCCGATCGCATGGTCGGCGGTTCGAATCCCCGCGGCGGGGTGCACTCCCGTTGCTCGGTCCCAGCGCCCGCCAACCTAGCAGTTCGAAAGCACCCCTAAGTGCAAGTAGATAAATAGGGACCGCTTACTAGCGGGAAGGTAAAGGCGTTTCCGTGTGCTGCGCTGGCTCGCCAGATGCAGCTTCGTCACGCTGGCCACGTGACCTGGAAGTGTCTTCGGACAGCGTTGGCTCCCGGCCTCTAGAGTGAGATGAGCGCACAACCCTAGAGTCTGTCAAGACTGGCCCATACCGGCAGGGGTACCTTTACCTTTACCTTTATCAAATAATTTTATAAGAATGCATCCTGGATGTAGGTAGAGGGAAGTGTCATTAGCTTGAATGTGAGTATGAATATGAATAAAATCCTTCTTAGTGTGTCAGGATTGTAAGATTTTCTCAATAATCAAATGGTGCACAATAAAAAAGGAAATATAAACTTGAAATTGTGTCTAGTTGCTCATCTTAAACACACTTAGGTTGGAGTGAAACTTTTTGATTTCCAGAGCAGCAGTAGCACAAGATTAGAGCAGAACCTCTTTTATATATTAATACATGCAGGCATCCTTTGTCTTTGTGACATGATGACCTTTTGAATTTGTCCATATCCATTTCACTGCCTTTTGATCATTAGCTGTGGGGAGCCTTTGGGACACATGGTTGGCCTGGAAGAGGCACATCTAAATTTAGGCACATCGCTTTCTGTAGCTGGTAGAGTCCATCTCTGCAGCTTGTAGCATTAGTTGTAGATACTTTGCAAGTGTAAGAAGCCGGGAGACGCAAGTAAGTGATTGCACGTTCTAGTATGTGCTTCTCAGTGTAGTGTTATCGTATACTGTGAATATTTGTGTATGACTAACTGACTGACTTGATTGATTGACTGATTCCATTTACACACTGCAATACTGCATTAGAGGTGCTTTTTAAGGCTCCTGAATGAGGGTCACCATTTAAGAAGATCTACTTATCAGTTCATTGGAGAAAAAGAAGCAATATTCATTATGATACAATTTGTGTTTGAAGTAGGCACCTTTCTGCCTTAGGTTCATGAGTTTAATGGGTAGATTTGGGGCTTCAGGATTCCATTCTCATAAACTCGTATTCTATAGCTGTGATTTTAAAGTCACTTGTTTGTTAATTTTGTCAGAGTGACAAGGGGAGCACAGCTCATTCACAATGAGAAGCATTGCTGAATACCTTTTGATGAAAGCACTGATATACCCTGGATATCCAGAGTTTCCTTTCTCTGCTTTCTATATTCTTTTGCCTCCAGTAAATGCCATAAGCTGCTCTGGGAGGAATGATGATGAAGGGCAGATTAAACAGGATCAAAATTAGGTAATTAAATTTTGAAGCAGAAAATGATTTATTTTCTTTGATTTATTATTTTAAATTACTCAAAGCACACACAAAATCATAATATGGTAAAACAGTAATCCAGCAATAACAACAAAACAATTAAAAATCTAAAAATTAATAAGCAATCAGAATAAAAAGGGGAACCAAAGCCATTTACAACAAACAGAAACAAACCTAGTAATTCCTAATGTGTTAAATGTACTGAAGTAGCCAGTGCAGTGCCATTTCCAGAGTGTCTGCTGATGTTTAGTGGGCTGGAGTAAGATGGCAAAGAGTCTTGTGGGACCTTAAACGCTAATTTTTATGCGAAGTGTCAGTAGCTTAGTAGCAGAGCTACTGGCACCTCCAGTTAGGGCTGGGAATGTCTCCTGCTCCCAGTCAATGTACAGACAATACTGAACTAGATGAACTAGCAGTCTCACTTGGAATAAGGCTGATTCCTATATTTCAATGGTGTCGGCTTTTGTGGAGTAGAGGCCACTTTGTTGGAACCACGAATTGTTGTCCCGTTGGCAGGTGCACATTTCTAAAGGGAAATGAAATGCAAGCCAGAAGGCTTCTGTTTCCAGTCTCATCAGCTGTTCGCTCACTGGGGAGTTTCGCTGAGCCACTGTTCTTCAGCTCCCTGCCTATAATAGGATGGTAATATTACTTGCCTACTTGACAGAGTTGATGTAAGGATTACTGAAATGGCAGCTTCACAGATGAATGGGGATCTGAACTTGGGTTTTCCTTCTCCGCTGGTACTAATGGCAGTGTTATTTTCATGTCTAGAAATAATTTAAATATGAATAAAACTTTGAATGGTGAGGTACTATCCACCAATAAACTCTGCCATGTGAGCACTGCTGCTGCTGCAAGACCGATTCATTTTTTGCAGGATCTTTGCCCTATTCCCAGTGAGCCCTTTAGCATGAAGCAGATGCTCTGTTGCAGCTGCCCTTAATGGATAGTTTCCATGTTTTAAAAAAGTCGCTGTTTCATACAGACATGTTTCACTTTGTCTTTTTTGCTTTATTTAGTAGACCTTGAATAGAAGATGGCCTCCTGTTTATACGATTGCCTTTGTGAAGCAGAGCTTGAGAAATACTTTCCCCATTTTAGTGCCCTTGGCTTTCAGAGGATAGATGAACTTGCCAAGGTCTCCATGAAAGATTACACCAAGCTGGGGGTGCATAACATGAAGGACCGCAAGCGCCTCTTCCAGCTCATTCGAATAATCAAAATGTTGCAGGCAGAAGAGGAAGCAATGAGGAAAAAACAGCATTTACAGACAGGTGCTCTCTGCCTCCAGCCTCAGGCAGCTAGATGTGGCCCTCGAAGACAACTGCACTTTGATTCCCTCTCGGAGGAAAGAGATGGAGGGAGAAAGCAGCTTGAGCCTGAATTGTGTGCCTTATCCAGTTGCTCTGTAAATGAAGATAAAGATGATTTAGCTGCAGTGTTGAGCCACGAAGCTGAATACAAAAGACCTAGGAAAGACTCTTTGAATGCTGCTGCAGCATGGACAGAACATAAACTGGGCATTCCAGCTATCAGTTCATCTAACGATATTGCTCCTCTCCTAGGGGATGCTGAAGCCCCCATTGTACAAAGAGTAGCTCATATTTCAGGTTATAATTATGGAGTGCCTCATTCTTGTACAAGGTAATAACCATTTATCTGTATTCTTTTACATAGAACAATGTAATTCTCTCCTTCATACATGTGGGAGAAGTTAAAAGTTACAAAATAAAATAGAATTTTGCAACCAATTATCCTACATACTGTTTTAGCAATACATTGTGCATACATTTGATTTGCACGTATAAATTTCTATAGTGTGGGCTGACTTTGAAACTGCAAATTTAGCATTTTTGACATCCTGTGTTTCGCAGACCTAACGCTTCTGAGAAGGAGACCCCGTGGACAGAGACTGACAAGATCCGTGTGTGCGTCCGAAAGCGTCCCCTTGGCTTAAGAGAAGAGAGGCGTGGGGAAGTGAATATCATCACAGTAGAAGACAAAGAAACCCTCCTGCTCCATGAGAAGAAGGAGGCTGTTGACCTCAGCCAGTACATTTTGCAGGTTGCAGTATTTTGACTCCATACGTCTTGTATCATGTCTTAAAGTGTTCAAGTCATGGTATCAAACTGATCTTTTTACAACCAAAGAGGAGATAAAACAACAACTTCCCACAGCAGAACTTGGAGTACTAATCTGTATTCTTAAAGTTTTGTAAAAAAATAAAATAAATCTGAGCATACAAAACTGTAAAAACCATTAAATCTAGAATATTCATCAACACCTTATCCACTGAATATTAAGCCCTTTTTTGAAAATGAGAACTTTTGCATGGACTTACATAGGCCCAGTGGATAAGGCTTTAGAGACAGGAAAGGTGAGAGAGGAAGCTGCCTGTGATAGAGGGCATCTTTGTGCTTTTGCGATGGCTTGCCGACAGGTGGAGAAGGATCTCCTCCAGAAATCTGAATGACTGCTTTAGTCCCTGGGGTCTTATCTTAATGGATGACACTGTCCTTGGGCCTAGGAAATTAGAATTTGAAAGTTGAAGCCAACACCTTGATTTGCTTCTGGAAGCTAAAAGGGAGCAAGCATAGTTGCAGCAGTGATAGCAAGCAAGGAGCATTGCAACAGTACTGCAGTCTGTAGGAGAATGCTATAGTGTATTGTAGGCCAACAAAAGGCAGGTGTCCTCCAAGGTCCATGGACCCCTATACTCTTTGTTTATTTTAGATATTTTGGGACGTGGGTGGCACTGTGGTCTAAACCACTGAGCCTCTTGGACTTGCTGATCGGAAGGTCAGTAGTTCAAATCTGCACTATGGAGTGAGCTCCCATTGCTCTGTCCCAGCTTCTGCCAACCTAGCAGTTTGAAAGCATACCAGTGCAAGTAGATAAATAGGTACCACCACAACAAGAAGGTAAATGGTATTTCTGTGCACTCTGGCACTTGTCATGGTCCTCTGTGCACCAGTAGCAGTTTAGTAATGCAGGCCACATGACCCGGAAAGCTGCTCGTGGACAAACGCTATCTCCCTCGGCCTGAAAAGCGCCGCACCCCATAGTCGCCTTTGAGTGGACTTAACCATCCAGGGGTACTTTACCTTTACCTTTTAGATATCTGTTACATTTATAGCAGCAGGGAATTTGACATTACCAGAAAATGATTGCATAATAATTATGCGCTGCTGTATTATATTCTGATATTACACGACAGTGTTTCACGAATCATTCTGGTGTGAATGCCTATGGTACAGTAGAAGAGGTCACTTTCTTGGGGATACCATATTCCAGATGCCATTTTGTGCTCTCGGGAGATATTCCTGCCACATAAGAGCCACAACCTGTGATTGGCGGGTGGCGGGGGGGAGGCATCTCAGACCAGTACTGGAACACTCCCCAAATAACATTACAAATGGTGCTATAAGGATGACATGATCCAAACTTTGACTTATCTAGACTGTGATAAACATGCAATTTCTCTTGCTTGAAACTTTTCTGTAATTCTGTTGGACTTGCCTCTGATTTACACTCTCCCCCCAAAAAGAGAAATGGGTAAAGATTATATGTTCTCCCTTGCATTGTCTTCTCTCTTTTCTGTTGGAAAGTGAGCATATTGTAATTACTGCCCAAGGCGCCTGTGCTTAACAAAGGCAACAGAACTGGGCTGCCAGCCTAGTGAATTCCCTTTCCCCCGGGTTCCATTGTACTAGACAGCAAGGTTCTCACAGGCCTTCAGTGCTCCAGTTCTGGCTGAATGATCTATGCTCTCTCTTCCTCTGCCCTCCTTCCCCTCTGTGGTTAATGATTTTCCCGCTAATAGTCTTGCATCTTTTTTCTCTCTTGGTCCCAGGTACCTTCTGCTGCCTAGATCAAATTCTCATTCCGATTGACAGCAGCAGGAAGGTAACCAGTCTGCAGAGCAGCATGTTATGTACACACATGCCCCTCCTCTCCCTGGTGCTTCAGTTCAGTGGCGCTCTTGCCAAATAATAAATAAAGTCCTCATAGATTGTGCCTACTGACACAAACAGCTTAAGAGGAAGAAGCCTTAAGTACAGGAAGTTTTACTTCTGAAATGAGGATTTCCTAGAAACGTCTTTCTAGGTTTCTAGTTTCCTTTGCCTCAAAAATACATCAGAATTTGGTAGGGGCAGTTCCTTTTCAGCAGCAAGAATCCACGGCTTGATTTTGGACCTTAACTTTTATTTTGCATCATTCCATGTTATCATTGCATACCTATTCGCTTAAGGCAAGATGAAGTATTCTCTTCTGCCTCCCTCCCTCCTTCCTCCCTTTCTTATTTTAGCTCTGCTCACAGCTTTGTTTCCAGAGACACTTGCTTGGTACAGTTGCTGAATCCATTAGCTTGCTCTGGCTGATAGTGATTGCATGATGTCTGAATTTGGCTATGCGGGGTCTCAGCTTCCTGGTTTCACTTGGAATGGGATTCACATCCACAGCTGTGTATCTTATCATCCTGGGTGGGTGAAAGGAGTCGAATTCCTTTTTGTGTAAATATCCCTTTTCTTTTTGCAGCATGTGTTTTACTTTGATGAAGTTTTTGGGGAGGCCTGTTCCAACCAGGATGTGTACATGAAGACTGCCCACCCCCTCATTCAACACATTTTCAATGGGTAGGGTGTTGTGTATCCTTTCCCTATCTGTGCCTGTGAACATTTTCATTGTTTATACAATATATGTTTATTGATGTTTTCATGGTGCTCACCTTTCTTCCTCTGTTTTTCTTTTGGTGATGGTCCACACACACACACACACACACACACACTGTCCTATATCTGAATTATGTGTCATTTTAAAATAAATGAGCAGATAAGAGAAGGAAAGTAAAAATTGTTTTCCGTTTTATTTATTTAGATTTATATCCTACCACTTGACAAGGTAGCTCACAATTTAAAAGGTGAATAATCAAATAGAATAATCATAAAACAAACAAGGAAAAAAGGGCATCCGGTATAAAATCAGTAACAGGTGTAGCATAACTCAGTTGTTCCCACCATCGTAACCCCAAGGCCAGAACATTTTCATGGGCGTCTTGAAGACTTCCATGGAATTGCTGTAATGGGCACCCACTTAGGGAAGTATTTCCTAAGGAATGCCATTCTAGCAGATATTCAGTGGCAAAGGGGGTCTGGCGTAGTGTTTGCAATGGCAACTGAAGAAACAAGCTTTCCGCTGGACTACTTAGGACTTTAAAGGTCAAAAATGGTACTTTGAATGGAGCCTGGAAACCAACCAGCAACCAGCCGCGCTTCTTCAGTATGAATATTCTTGCATCCTGTGACTGTTTGCAGCCAGTAGCTAGGCACCAATTCTAGTCTAGCTGCTGCTGCTTAACACCCTTTCAAGGATAACCTGAAGCGTATGTAACCCTGAAGCATATGTAACCCGAGGTAGCACTGTATTGTGAATCAAATCAGCTCATGGGCTGGAAAACCAGTGCTGGTGGTCCCAATTTGTTTGTTAAACTAAGGCTTGCTTCTTTTAATGCCGTCTCACTCAGCTAGGAAAAGAGCAGCCTTTTGTGGCCATTCAGGATTTCAGATGCTGTTTCAAAATAAGGCTCAGTATGGAGTGTCAGACTTGAGGGTCATCTGCTGGAGGCGCTGCCCACTAATTTTTGATGCCAGAGAAGCCGGCAGAGATTTGAGTAATACTACCTGGGTTATAAGCATTTTGTGGATTGTACCTTGGCCACACCTAAAATTTCTTTCCTGCCATATCCCAAATGTTCATGGTGGATTGCAATAGATAAGCTGGGCCAGGGACATTAAAAATGGTGCCCTACTGATGGTGCCGATTTGCAAGGCTCCATTATGACTAAGCAGGGATTCAAATTTGGATTTCTGCTGCTCTGCATTGCACTGCAAAATAACATAAAGGTACTTCAGAGACAATCTTCTTTGGTGTAAGTAGAAGAAATATTTATTGCAAGGTCATTGTCTTGTACCAATGGTCTCTGCTTCTTTAATTATATCAATTTAGTGTAGTCCCCTCGCATCTTTGATGTTGCTACTTAAAACAACAACTGATATTCAGCTACATAAGGAAACCCCACCAGTATAATTACATTTTGTTTTCAGCCTTATGACTTTTGGGACAAAGTCAACTAGATGAAGGTACTTTTAGGATGCAACCATATTAAATCAGAGTGTAACTTGAGAAAGGTCAGATATAATACTGCTCACAACTTCTATATCAATATTTTTATCTTTACCATTCAACTGTACATACACACAGACACAAGACGCTTTCATATTTAAGGAAGCAAAAAGACCAAATACCTTCTCTCCATCTTCCAATCTGGCTATTCTGATTAGTTAGACTGGCTATTGGGCCAAGCTGAATATCACAAAAGACTAAACTCCACATTTTTGTCACCATTATAATGTGAACATAATCAATTACGGCGCCAGCTTAATGGAGAGTGCCCCATGCTGTGCCCAAGCCACAAAGGCATCACGTAGGAGTTCTTTTTGAGGCAGCTGGGAAGGTTGTTATTTGAGTGACAGCCGCTCCTAATGGAGCCATTGTGTTGTGGAACATGCAAGATAGGAATCAAAAGGAGGGCAAGCAGGTCCAGGGGACTGTTTTAAAGGATGCCATCCTTGCCCCGGTTAGCCCACCAGGTAGAGGACTGCATTAGTATTGAAGGCAGAAAAGCTTCGCTCTTGTAGCTTATGGTGGTTCTCTTGTATAGCCACTGAACTTCACATAGCAGCTCTGTACATGATGTTCCGTACTGATGGCTCTTCCATATGCTTTGTTGCCTTCTCTACAGTCAAGCCTTTTGAGAATGTCTTATGTGCAACAGATCTAAACAGGATGTGAGAGGACATCAGGAGATGTCTTGGAGGCTGCTTCTATATCTCCACATTTGATTATCCCACAGAAGTAGTTTTGGGCAAGCATTCAGTGTTTGTGTTTTACGCTAATAGAAGCTGCTATATTAAAAGGTGCTTCTCTTTCTTTTGTTACAGCGGCAACGCCACCTGCTTTGCATATGGGCAGACGGGTGCTGGCAAGACCTATACTATGATTGGCACTCACCAAAACCCAGGACTCTACGCCCTGGCTGCTAACGATATCTTCAGGCAATTGGAAGCATCTCAGACTAGAAAAGACCTCCATGTCTGGATCAGCTTTTATGAGATCTACTGTGGACAGCTTTATGACCTGCTAAATGGAAGGAAGAGGTGCTTAAAATCCAAGAGTACAGCTTCTGAAACCAAGGCCGTTAATCAGATGTAGCTGAACAGAATTAGAGTTGCTTGGAACAGAGAAATCTGGGGACAAGTGGGTTATTGTTGCTTTTTTAGTGAAGGGACGCACAATAAAGTCCTGTCCCAAGAGCTGTGCAGCTTGCTCAGTCTGCCTAAAAGACGAGGGAGGCTTTGATTTTGTAGTTTCATAAGTGTGCAGTTTAGGAGTTGGTAGCTAGATGCCCAGAGCCAAATCTGCCCCCAGAGAAGTATCTACTGCTCCTTCCGTTGCCAGGGCTACAGAGCAGGGCTTGTTGTCAGTCCATACTGAGGGAAGGGAGCGATGGAGCCTGACCCCTCCTTCCCATAAAATTAGTTGTTGATATAGTTGGTTCAGTAAAAAGCATTAAAAGCCCACCCCACCCCCTTTTTTGTGTGTGACCATTCTAGTAACTGCTGTAACTAGATCTTATCTTTTCAGTGCATTCCAGAATGGAGACATCTCCCGTGTGGCTCAGACATGTCAGCTTTTGTCCTTCCTTTGACAGGGTGACCTGAGGGATGTGTGGATGTTTGCATGGCACAGGAAGTGCTTTCTAGCGGAGAGGTGGCGAGAGCGCTGTTTCGTGGGGGCTCTGTGGGGATGGAGGACTGCAAACACTTAATCATCTCTCTGGGCTATTAATTCTGCAACAGGCAGATGACAATTTAAATATCAACATAAATTAATTCCCCCACTCCTGATTGTTCTAGCTGATACACTCAGCAGTGTCTGCTGCCCCTGCGATTTCAAGTGTGAAATGAAATGAGGAGCTCCCGCTGGGAAGTTTCAGCTATCAATTCTGCTTCAGAATGGGGTGGACTGTGCATTGAAATAAAACCAATTTCCCGTGAATGGCTGTGTCTTTCAAGGGCAGCTGGTGCTATCCCACTGTTGGCAGGCTTGGGTGAGGATGGGGACATGGAATTGTGGAGACTTACCTTCCATTGTTCATGGTGGGATCCATATCTACATAAGGGTTGCTGGATCAGGTGCTGTGTGTCTTCCTGTTCTTTGGTCATGCTTTTCAACCAGTGAGCGAGGTCATCAATAAATTTTGGCTGAGGCCGCTTGAGGAAGCAGGATGTTGCTCTAGATAGTCTTTTGGTCCGATCTTGCTGGGATCTTAATTATCAGCATGCTGATGATGCTCAGCTCTTGTGTTCGTCTATTTTGAGTGTGTCAGGGGATGCCCCAAGTTTCTGGAGTTAGTCAGGGGTTGGGTGAGAGCTAATAAATGGAAGCTCCACCCAGGCAGTGGCGCTGTGGGTAAAACCTCAGCGCCTAGGACTTGCCGATCGCATGTCGGTGGTTCAAATCCCCGCGGCAGGGTGCGCTCCCGTTGCTTGGTCCCAGCGCCTGCCAACCTAGCAGTTCGAAAGCACCCCCGGGTGCAAGTAGATAAATAGGGACCGCTTACTAGCGGGAAGGTAAATGGCATTTCCGTGTGCTGCGCTAGTGCTGGCTCACCAGAGCAGCTTTGTCACGCTGGCCACGTGACCCAGAAGTGTCTCTGGACAGCGCTGGCCCTTGGCCTCTTGAGTGAGATGAGCGCACAACCCTAGAGTCTGTCAAGACTGGCCCGTACGGGCAGGGGTACCTTTACCTTTACCACCCAGGCAAGGTGGAGGTGCTGCTGGTGGGTGCCTCAGCTGGCCAGGAAGGAAGTATTCATCCTGTGACTGGTGGCGTTGCACTCATGGAGGGACAAGTTCAAAGCCTGCAGTTAGATCCAGCCTTGACTGATTGCATTCATATCCCACTTTTCCTTCAGGGAGCTCAAGGTGATGTTCCCCTCCTCCCTGCTTTATCCCCACGGAAACCCTGTGGGGTAGATCAGGCTGCGAGTGAGTGATCAGGCCTAGGGTCACCCAGGGAGCTTAATGGCTGAGTGGGGATTTGAACCCCGGTCTCCCAGGTCCAACACTGATCACTACGCCGCGCTGGCTCTTTGATTGTGTATAGAACAGTGATGTCTGTGGCATGAAGCACCACTTTGGTGCAATGGTTGCAACATTTCTTGGAAAGAGATGGACTCGGTAACATGGTTCCGCTTTTCAATATTGCTTGGATACTGGAGCTGGTTTGGAGTATCACGGCCAGGTCATTCATGGAACCTGCTGGAATATGACTCCCATAATTTCTGACAATCGGCCATGGTGCCTGGGACTGACAGAGTTGGGGTTCAGCAACATCTGGAGAGCCACAGGTTCCCCATCCCTGATCCAAATGTCCTGTGCCCAGGACACTGACTTCTGTCATATGAACCTGTCCGTTTACAGAGATCATTGTCCAAACATCAGTCAAGGCTCCTTGTGCCCCTCCCCTTCAGAGATTTTTAGAACAGGGCATTTCCTGTAATGACAGCTTGATTCTGAAACACGATTTCCAAGAGAACTCACATGGCACCCATCCTGTGACTGTTGAGGCGCCAGCTCAATAATTTGTCATCCAGACAAATTAAAATTGGTTAAAATTAGCATTATGGTTTTCTGTAGTTTGAGTTTTGTTCCGCTGCCCCTTCCTTGGACTCTGTTGTTTTTCTGATTGTTGTTACATTGAATTATTTAATGGGGGCTTATAGTAATCGGCTCTATTTGGAAGTGGGGGCTAAAAGTAAATTTCATGTTTTGAAAATTAAAAATGGGCATTTGTTGAACCTTTCCCTAAGCACTTTGCAACTAATCTATGTGGTTTCCTCCCCAGGCTTTTTGCAAGGGAAGACAGTAAGCATATTGTGCAGATAGTTGGGCTGCGTGAGGTCCAAGTGAACACCGTCAGCCTGCTACTAGAGGTAATTCTGACCACCCAGACGTACACATTTGATTAAGCTTTGAGGGTGCAGGTACCATGGAAAAACCACTGTGCCCCACGTAATGGTCATTAGATGTTTTAGGATGTGCATGTGGCCAATTGTTCTCATTAAGCTTTTTTAAAGGAACATATTGGACATCCTGGGCTCTCATTAGATTATTTCTTCTTTCTCTCCTCATTAGATTCTAAAGACTCACGGGTTTTCTTAAAAAATGGATTTCCCTTGGGGAAAAAAGTACTAGAAGGAACCAAAACAAAAGTTAGGTCTCATCACCTCTGAGCCCAGTTAATGACGTTAAAGAATTTCCTTCCCCACTTTGGGGTTAAGAGTTCTGAGGATTTTATTTACTTACTTGGGGCATCCTGTTCTGCTGTGCCTCCCATCCTGCCTCGAACTTACAACAAGCCGTTTTCATTGCTGAGCAACTTCCACAACTTGGTTCTTTCAGCTTTCAAACAGTGCAGTTGTTCTCTCCCTCCTCCCACCCCCCAATATTTTTGTGCTGATAGGAGCTTCAAAGTACTTTGTGCACTGCAATAGATGTAGAAATGATATTGCAAAATTTTAACACTGAGGGGTCTCAGCCCTGGCACCAATTCCTTCTTTGGTTCTATTGACTAGAAACTGAAATTGCTGTGCACCCCCGCCCCCCGTGCCTGCCCAGCTGTTTTGTTTAGTCATGTCCGATTCTTCGTGACCCCCTGGACCAGAGCATGCCAGGCCCTCCTTTCTTCCACTGCCTCCTTCAGTTTGGTCAAACTCATGTTGGTAGCTTTGAGAAAACTGCCCATCCATCTCGTCCTCTGTCGTCTCCTTCTCCTTGTGCCCTCCATCTTTCCCAACATCTGGGTCTTTTCCAGGGAGTCTTCTCTTCTCATGAGGTGGCCAAAGTCTTGGAGACTCAGCTTCAGGATCTGTCCTTCCAGTGAGCACTCAGGGCTGATTTCTGTCAGAATGGAGAGGTTTGATCTTCTTGCAGTCCATGGGACTCTCAAGAGTCTCCTCCAGCACCAGAATTCAAAAGCATCCATTCTTCGGCGATCAGCCTTCTTGATGGTCCAGCTCTCACTTCCATACATCACTACTGTGAAAACCATAGCTTTAACTATACGGACCTTTGTCGGCAACGTGATGTCTCTGCTTTTTAAGATGCTATCTAGGTTTGTCATTGCTTTTCTCCCAAGAAGCAGGCATCTATTAATTTCGTGACTGCTGTCACCATCTGCAGTGATCATGGAACCCAAGAAAGTAAAATCTCTTGCTGCCTCCCTTTCTTCCCCTTCTATTTGCCAGGAGGTGATGGGACCAGTGGCCCAGCTGTTTACTTTGGCAGTATTTTCTTTGCTGTTGGCTATGGAGACAGATGAGCAAGCTGGCCTTTCGTAGTGCACTGAACTGATTGTGTGTCTCTTCACTTTCTGGCTCACTAAATCCTTTTGGCATGCTTGGAATGTATAGTTTCGGGTAGGGGGGTGAGAAAAGAAACTGTCCAGCTTATGTCCAGCCTTAACGAAATACATTTTGCTTTGCTCATTTCCAGTGAGTGATTGTTGCGCATGGGTAGGATTTTCAATGAGTTTTTCAGATAGTGATAAATGGGCCATATGAAAGGACCTTGTGGCAGAGATGAGGACTTCACAAGTTGCTGGGCTTAAATATCTGCCTCCTGGTTTTGTGGCAAGGCTGGTGATGATGGAAGGAAATATTTAGGGGGGGGGAATTACCTGCCATCAAACTGCCATCAGACATTTAAGTTGCAAGGACATTGAATTTCCTATTTCTCTTTTTTAAAGTAATTTTTATTGGGCTTTTTAATATAAAGGTAAAAATTTAACACACCAGATGAAACAACTCAAATATGGAATAACAAAACAAAAAAACAAAACAAAGAAGAGTAAGGATAAAACAGATAATAAGCAAAATAAAGTAATTTACAAAAGATGGCATAAATAGATGTTGTGTTCCTACAGTATAAAAAGAAAAAGACCAATATAATGTGAAGACTGTAAAGTTCCCAAATGCCCAATGATGCTGGAGTTTTGCCTCTCTCTGAATGAGGGGCGTGGTCTGCCTTGAGTCATCTAGGGCTGGTTGGACTGTACAGTGGTACCTCGGGTTACAGGCGCTTCAGGTTACAGACTCCGCTAACGCAGAAATATTACCTCGGGTTAAGAACTTTGCTTCAGGATGAGAACAGAAATTGTGTGGTGGTGGCGTGGCAGCAGTGGGAGGCCCCATTAGCTAAAGTGGTACCTCAGGTTAAGAACAGTTTCAGGTTGAGAAACGGACCTCCAGAGCAAATTCAGTTCTTAACCCGAGGTGCCACTGTACTAGTACATATGCAGTTTCACTGTGGGGTTTATGTGGGGAGTCCTAGTCTTAGTTCTGCTCCTCCTTCATTCCAGGTAATTCTGAAAGGAGGAAAAGAGCGCAGTACCGGGGCAACTGGAGTCAACTCGGATTCCTCCCGTTCTCATGCCATTATCCAGATTCAGATTAAGGACCCAGCAAACAGAGTGTTTGGAAGGTGAGTGGTAAAGAGCTGGAAATGTTCCATTCTGCCTCCAAGACCTTGCAATGAGCCTTGCAGGCCTCTTCTCAGAATGCAGCCGCCATGTGGAGAGTGTATGTACTCTGCTCATAGGAAACTCCTGGTGAAGAGCTTGTTAAAAAATGTACACCTAACCCCTCAAGTGTACTTGCATCACTTAAGGTGGTTTACAACAAGAATGAAAACCCCATAAAATAAATGAAACAACACAAATGTTCTGAGGTGAGGGTCTACTTCTAAGCCTAGCAAGACAATTTCCTTGTTGAAGTAGGAAAGTTTTAACCAGCCAGCCAAAAAAAAGGAATGACGAGGGAGCAAAATGCAGTTCGGTGGGCAAGGTATTCCATCATTTAAGTTCAGCCACCAGGAAGACCTCTGTTCTCCTGAGTAGTCACCCCCCCCCCAGCTACAGATGGAACATGGAAAAGGTTTGGTCCCATACCGTAGATCCTGCTGACTGGGCAGATTGGTGCTGGAGGCTCTCTTGGACATAAGCCACTTAGGGCTTACCATTCTTACGTTGACTGGTTGGGAATGGAAATGGCTCAGATAGTCTGATGGAATGGCTGTCGCTAAGTGACAATAGGAGGGAGGCTCAAAGGCAGCAGCAGTGAAGGTGGAAAAGCTGGCTTAAATGGTTTCAAGCAAGCCCGTCTCTAGGTGTTGAGGATAAAACCTCACTCTGGACCCACTGGAAGAATTAATTAATTAAAAGATGGATAAAGGTAAAGTAACCCCTCACCGTTAGGTCCAGTTGCGGACAACTCTGGTTGCAGCGCTCATCTCGCTCTATAGGCTGAGGGAGCCGGCGTTTGTCCGTAGACAGCTTCTGGGTCATGTGGCCAGCATGACTGAGACGCTTCTGGCAAACCAGAGCAGCACACAGAAACACCGTTTGCCTTCCTGCCGGAGCGGTACCTATTTATCTACTTGCACTTTGACGTGCTTTTGAACTGCTAGGTGGGCAGGCGAGGGACCGAACAACGGGAGTTCACCCTGTCTCGGGGATTCAAACCGCCCAAGACGGGGTAAGCTCCTGTTGTTCAATCCCAGCTCCTGCCCACCTAGCAGTTTGATGGATAAGGTTGTGCTAAAATGATTTTGGTTTTCCAGGATCTCCTTCATTGACCTGGCTGGCAGTGAGAGAGCTGCGGATGCCAGGGACTCTGACCGGCAGACGAAAATGGAAGGTGCAGAAATAAATCAAAGTCTTCTAGCTGTAAGTTGGTGTGAATTGTGCTTCTTTTGAGATTATTTGAAGGGCTGCAATACAGTTCCTAATATTTGACAGTGATTTTTTTAGAAGATGGAATTGTCTCTGGGATGAGAACTCTGTGCAGGGCTGCTTGTGTTTAGTAGAGTACCAGCTCTGGATGCTGGTGCAAGAATAGGAGACGTTTAAGATTGAGCCACAGTGGGCCCTCACAAATTTCACATCCAGTTTTCGGCTTGCAAAAATCCTCCACCATGGACATAAAGAAGTGATGCTCTTTGCTTCTGCTGGGTATTCTTTCTTTCTTTCTTTCTTTCTTTCTTTCTTTCTTTCTTTCTTTCTTTCTCTCTCTCTCTCTCTCTCTCTCTCTCTCTCTCTCTCTCTCTCTCTCTCTCTCTTATAAGACAGATAGTGCCAGAATGAGGACAGAATGCATTGCCCTAACATTGATTTGGCTTCAAAATGTTATCACTTTACCAAATCTCATTGGCTGCATTGCATAGTCAAAAGGACCAATCCTGAACCTTCTAAGAAGACTCAGAACCTGATTATGAACCGGGTCTTGTCCTAGAAGCTGCAAATAAACCTGCTGAAAGAGGAGATGGGTGGGGGGAACCTTTGCCTCGGAGAGTCACTGTCAGTGAGACCAAACTAGGCTAGATGGAAGCGGTGGCCTCATTCAACAGAGGTCTATAGTCTATAGAGAGAGCAGAAATCCTGAAATGCTGAATTAATGGGTTTTTTTGTGCCAAGGAAAGACTCTCTAGGCAAGTAACACAGAAAAAGGAAGTTTGCAACCTTCCTTCTTGCCCTTGGTTTTTAGGGGCATTGGGCGTATAACATAACCCCCCTCCCCCCAAAAAAACCACTGGGGAAAGCAACAGATGGTTGCTCCATGGTCCCAAGCACTGGTGACTGACCTAAAGATTGCTACTCTGATGCCTGCTCCAGGCAATGCAATCTTGAGTAGAGCCAGGGAGGAACTGACAATATCCCTCTGCTTGCAAAGGCCCATCCAATACAGTGGTACCTCTGGATGTGAGAACGGGATCCATTCCAGAGCCCCATTCGCATCCTGAGTAGAATGTAACACGTGTCTGTGCGTGTGGCGTTTCGCCGCTTCCGCGCATGCATGAGATCTCATTTTGAGTGTCTGCACATGTGTGAGCGGCGAAACCCGGAAGTAACGTGCTCCGTTACTTCTGGGTCACTGTGGAGCGTAACCTGAAAACGCTCAACCTGAAGCATATTTAACCCGAGGTATGACTGTACTTTGAGAGCCACTGCTATAGAGCAAAGTGTGGTCTTGTAAAAAAAACAACCCTGTGTGCTGGCATTTTTACACTCGCTCACTGTGTGAGGCCACCTGTTGTTGTCTTTCTCTAGCTGAAAGAGTGCATCCGCGCCCTGGATCAGGAACATGCTCACACTCCCTTCAGGCAAAGCAAACTCACTCAGGTAAGGCCCAGGTCAACACCAGAACATTTTCCCCAAAGGCTGCTTTAAACGAGCATTACTCCAGGGTTTGTGGATGGGAAGCAAAGCAACGTTAACGAATGGGTTCAGGGTACAGGAAAACAGCACCATTCTGTGCTCTAAACTTGCTTTGTTTTTAAACTCGCAAATGGCTTTTTCCTCCTCAGTGAGCTCTGGGAATTGTAGTTTTGTGAGGATGCTGTACATTCCCTGACAGAATTTCAGATCCCCACAGTTGCAAAATACAATGTGGTCTCCTTGGATATCTGGAATAAATTCCATCTACCCTTTTCCCAAATTTGGACTTCCATGGCAGGAGGAAACCTTGGGTTGGCTGGCTTACATCCCAGGCATCCTGTTGAGGTCAGGAGCAGTGTACGCTAAGGCTCAGGTGCACTTCATGGCACGTTCTCTCAGCCTAGCCGACCTCACATGGTTGCTGTGAGGATAAAATGGGAAGTTTTTAATATTTAATGCTGTATTGTTTTTAACACTTGATTGTGAGCCGCCCAGAGTGGCTGGGGAGGCTCAACCAGATGGACGGAGTATAAATATTATTATTATTATTATTATTATTATTATTATTATTATTATTATTAAATGTATGCCACCTTGAGGTCCTTGGAGGAAGGGTGGGATATAAGCATATAAACTTTTGAAAAGCAGTTACCATCGTTTCTTCAGTTCCGTTTTATTTAGTTCTTTAAAAATGTGTTTGGGCTAAAGAGCTTTAAGATGTGCCTTCCGTTCCTCTCCCTTCAAGGTCCTGAAAGATTCTTTTGTTGGCAATTCCAAGACCTGCATGATAGCCAATGTCTCCCCCAGCCACATTGCGACTGAGCATACCTTAAACACCTTGCGCTATGCAGACAGGTAAGTGGTGGCACTGAACCAAAATGGACTCACTGCAATCACTCCTGGACCCGAGTGAGATTCCAGATTGTGCAGTTGTGATGCAAATATTACCTTTTGTTGCCTAGCTTCACTTATAAGGTGATGTGTTGCTGGTTCCTATCTTTAACTGTCACTTCTTGTCAAGAGTGGGTTGAAGATTGAGCTCTTCCGTCCCTCTGGTTCCAAGGAATGAGCTGCTGGCCTTACCATCAATCCATGGTTTAAACTGATGAGCAGCCTTGGTTCATGATCTGAGCTACGCTGGCAGCTTCTTTTCTCTATGGGAAACAAGACGAATGGCACATTCCATCGGGAACTTTTTACACTGCAAGCTTCACTGAAATTACCAAGAATTGCACAGTGATAAGGACGCCTGTAAAGCTGGGCTGCCATCCAGAAACATAAACAGAAATGCAGCTCAGATATTTATTGGTGTCTTGAACTTGTTTTAGATGCTAGAATCTATATTTAGCTAGTGGATTAAAATGACTGGTGGAGTGAATATTTCTAGCCAAATTAACTTGCTTAACTGTGGCTTGGTCCAATTAAAGAAGCAAGTGAAAAGACATTTCTTGAGATTTTAACAGATAGTTATAAATGTATATGCATTTGTTTAAATTTGCACCCCACCATTCCTCCCAGCTACAGTGGTGCCTCACAAGACGAAAAGAATCCGTTCCGCGATTCTCTTCGTCTAGCGGTTTTTTCGTCTTGCGAAGCAACCCTATTAGCGGCTAAGCAGATTAGCGCTATTAGCAGTTTAGCGGCTTAGCGGCTATTAAAGGATTAGCGGCTAAGCTGCTAAAAGGCTATTAGCGGCTTAGTGGCTTAGAAAAAGGGGGGGGAGCGAGAGAGAAAATGCAAGACTAGCAAGACATTTCGTCTTGCGAAGCAAGCCCATAAGGAAAATCGTCTTGCGAAGCAACTCAGAAACTGAAAACCCTTTCGTCTAGCGGGTTTTCCGTCTTGCGAGGCATTCGTCTTGCGGGGCACCACTGTATAACTATTAGAAATCCTCCAGAGTTCCTACTTGAATGGCACTATTCTATTGGGGATGCTTGTCTAGGTCTACATCCTGCTCTCCCCCCCCCCGCCCCAGACTGGCAATGGGTGTCAGCGAGGGCAAAGCTGAAGAATCCTATGTTGACAAAGGACAGTGTGCTGGGTGCTGTACAACGAAACACAAATCCAACTTAATGGTGTAACGTTGGAAAATGTCAACCACTTTACCTACCTGGGAAGTTATATTTCCACAATGGCTGACATTGATCCAAAATCCAGCATCGCCTGAGCTCCGCTAGTGCAGCTTTCTCCCGATTGAAGTGCAGAGTGTTTGAGGACATTCACAGGGAAACCAAAATGCTTGTTTACAAAGCTATTGTACTACCAACCTTACTATATGCTTGTGAAACATGGACCACTTATAAAGGCCATCTCCAACTCCTCAAAAGATACTATCAATGGTGTCTCTGAAAAATTTTACACATCACTTGGGAAGACAGGCGAACAAATGTCAGTGTACTGGAAGAAGCAAAGATCACCAGTGTCAAAGCAGAGATTCTTCAACATCAACTTCGTTGGACAGGTCATGTTGTGCAGATGCCTGATTATTGTCTTCCAAAGCAACTACTCTATTCCCAGTTTAAGAATGGAAAGTGAAATACCAGTGGACAACAAAATAAGTTTAAAGATGTTCCCAAGGCAAATCTAAAAAATGTAACATAAACACTGGAGATAACATAAACACATAAAAAGGAGAAACGTGCTAAGAGGAAGGCATGTTTGGCAAACCCTCACTGTGATCAACTTCCGCCCAGAAGCTATGGCCTCCACAGTCACTTACGGACTCACTGTTTAGACTATTTTCATGGAAAACCATCTTACTTGGCTACAAGTGATCACCAAAGAAAGAAGACACACACACCCCCCCGCAAAAAATAATGAAGTGATACAATCTGTAGCAAGGGGCTGGTAGTTACATGAGGTGCAGTCAGCAGTGAGGATCTAGTGACAGTAGAGGAGCAGCAGGGTGAATTGGGGATTTCAGGAAAAGCTTTGCTGCAGCTTAGATCTTGAAGAATTCTAAAGAGAAGAGTTGGTTGGTGAATTAAGAGGGCTTTGGAACACATAGCAAAAGCTGGGAACTGGAACCTGGGAAGGAAGCAAAAGGACCCAAAGAGAGGCAATATTCAGGGCAAGGTAAGAGTTGGGAACAAAGAGGGCAGCAGCGTTTATTTTTTAAAAGAACTTCACCACACACCCAGATTCCTATTTTCCCAAAGCATATGCAGATTCTCCCTTATATAACTTTTGACAGGACCGAGGTGGAAAGTGCCTAGTGAGTCAGTCTCGTTACCTCCTCTCTGCATCTATGCCCCAACCAAAGACAACATCTCCATTTACCCTGCAAGCCCCAATGTGTGGGAGTCCAATTAGGGGTGACTTTACCTCACCCCAAAACCTATGGAAATCCTCTCCTATGTGCTTTTGACCTGCTCTAGCAGAGGGCCTGGACCAGTATAGATTAATTGCTCTTTCTACTCAGCCTCAGATCTTACAAGTTCTGAACACCTGAAATGGACACAAATGAAGGGAATAAAGCTTGCATCGATATTCTCAAGCACAACTGCTAACTTATCTCTCATTTCTATCCTGTCCCCCTAACTTGCCACCAAAGAGACCCTCTCCCACTGACTAGACCCCCAGCCCCTGGCAAAGTATCCCCCCTTCTACCCCATATCGGGTCCCGCTACTCTTTCTCTGTCCTGTGAAGAGCTCCCTAAGAAAGAAACTCGGAAGATGTGTTTCATAAGCGGATGAAGAAATCGGGCAGAAACTAAATAACGGCATTTGGGTTCTACCTTCGTGTATCTTGATATGAAAGATTTGTGGAAATCCCTCCTGCCAGCGTAGAGCCGTTGGTTCTGATGGAACTGCAGCAGGATAAGTATTCCTTAAAACTGCCCACAGAAAGAGCTCATCTGGTAATGGTCTCCACTACAAATTGGGGATCCTCCAGTTCAGAACTGAGCAAGTGGCTGTGTTGAGAGGGCTGTGATCTTTATTGCAGGGTTGCTGTAAGGCCGGCAAGGAGATAATGTATCGCAAGGGCCCTGAACACTTGTAAATACTAGAGACATTCTAGGTATTATGTGGTAATAAAATCTGGGCTTGAAAGCCTTTCCTTCCCTAATGTCCATCTTTTCATTCCTAGGGTGAAAGAGTTGAAGAGAGGCATGAAATGTTGCACACCTGTCGCACAGCGACGGCGAACGCCAGGCAGCGTATCTCCCAAACGCATTCAGAGTTCTCTTTGCATGCAAGGTGGGGAAAAGAGCTCTCCTAAGAAAGTGAAGCTGGGGTTGCAGCACCTCCCAACACCTACAGCTTCCAAGGTGAAGGCTTCACCTTTGGGCTTTCACCCGCTGCACCCTCCTTTCTCTTCCACCCCGAAAGGACAGGCCCGCAAAGGTCATTTTGGTGCTCTGTGGCTCGGCCGCACCAGCCCAGTTAAAGGCGTTCCGAGGGCAGGACCAGCGGCCAAAAAGACAACGGAAGACTCACTGCTGCATCCTGGGAACAGCCTCATTGGGAAGGACTTTGGGTCCAGGAGAGAAAGCGTCCAAGCAGACAGACCTCGAGCCAAGTGCCTGAAAGCCCAACCTGTGCAGAAACAGCTCATTTCCAGAGCTGATTTTTCCCTTGCTGACACGGACCAACCATCCTTCCGCACGGAGGACGGCGGGAGAGTGTTTGCAGAGCAGTGCACTGCAGCATGGACAAGGCTCCCGCCCCACCAGAAAGACCGGGAGCAACACCTCCGCCTTTACCACCAGCAGTTCCAGCAGCCTCCTATTCTGCAGCAGAAGCTGAACTACCAACCCCTGGAGAAGTTCTTGGCCCAGTACATGCCTCAGGAGATCCGGGTGAAGCAGGAGCCCCCTTGCCACGCTCTGGCATCTCCTCCCCAGTGCCGTGACGAGACGATGCAGCTGGAGGACCTGGAGGACAGTGACTTCAGCGAGGATTCCTTCTCCGTCGGTCCCAGCCGGAGGAAGCCGGAGGCAGAAGCCGGAAGGGAATGCAGCCAGGGGGGTTCGTTTTTCCTTCATCAGAGAGAATGCGCTGAAGGGCAGGAAGTCCAGGGTGGGCAAGACCTGCTTTTCAAACCGTGCGAGCTTGAGAGTAAAGGCACAGCCTTGCTGGGGGCGGAGGAGGCCTGCATGAGCTGCGAGGAAGGCAACAGCAGTCTGCTGGACTGGAGCACAGAGGACACCTCGGCAGGGAGTTCTTCTCCAAAGAATGACGTGCCAGAGAAGCCTTACTGCTCGCAAGACAACACTGTGTGCGACAGGCTAAGCACCGAAGAATCGCTTCTGGGGCAAAAAGAGCTCGGATGCACAGATCTACCTCTAAGCTGCCCTGATGAACAATTCCCTGGGCCAAAAAAGGCAATGCAAAGCCCACCTTCGGCCCATACCTTGGGATCCCCAAGCTGTGATGTGGGCGGCTTGATGGAAGACTCTTTCAAAGGGAAAGATGGTCCTCTTTCAGTAACCGCAGGAAAAAGGCATCTCCAAACAGGAACAGGCCTTTGTGGGACTCTGGATTTTTCAGTGGATGTTGCTGCTAGAGAGACGACCCCTTTGGCTGTAAACCTTCTCAATGCTTTGACAACACGCAATCCAGAAGACAACCCTTCCCACCAGCAGCAAGGAAAGGCTCCACAGGAGGAGGAGATGGTCCAAAAGAAACCCTTTGGCCCCAGAAAGCGACTGGACGAGGGCACCAGGCACCTTCATGGGGAAAAAGCATCCCCTGCGCCCAGTCTATATGAAACGGGTAATTGGAGGGGGAAAGTTGGCTTGGTGCTTTCGCCGCAAGCCAAGACTGAGTGGCTTTCGCAGCCTTGTCAGAGCCCAAAGGTTTCTTCTCCCTTGGGCTTGAGTGAACTGTATGGTTGTATTTGTGGATACTCGCCCAGAGATGGAGGCCTGGTGGATCTCCTCTCCCCACACAGAGACAGCGGGGGCACCCTGCTCCTTAGTAACCTGCAGGTCAGTGAGTATGTGACCAGCCCACAGTATGATGCAGACACTGAAGCAACCATGATTTCCTCATTGAGCTGTTCAGGGCAATTCAGCCTGGGGGAAGAGGGTGGCTTCAAGTCCATGACACAGCTCAAACATACCGATACAGAGAGGAAAACCTCCATTTCAAAGGCACTCTCCATCTCTAATGATTCAGGGAAGAAGGAATTCGCTGGGGAGAGCATCACACCGCAGCCCAGCTTGGCATTTGGGAAACTGGAACTTGGCCATTTGCAGGAAGCATTCAAATTGACATTCAGTAGTGATGAAATGGGGCTTCTTAAGAATGAATTTTCTCAGAATATGCTTATGCACACACCTTCAAACGATGCAGAACAGGATTCAGGGGTTGTCTCCAAAGAGGTGAACACCAGGTCTTCCAAGAACACACTGAATTCTTCTAGCCCACAGGATTTATCTCCAAGCTCACTCCAGTATAAGGAAGCTTTAGGAAGGTGAGTTTTCTGGATTCTATCCCCCACCCCACTCCCCATTTACAATGGTTGGCAGCTGGTAGAAAAACATCTTAGCCACTGGGTAGGTCAGAGGGCTATGTCCTTTGCAGAGAGCAAAACCCATGACCATTTCTGTAGCAACAACCATGTGTTTCTAGTGCAACAACTATGAAAATATGAGTGAGCTGTGGAGAAGCTCCCACTTCAAACCTTGCAGGCAGCATTAGGCAAACCATGATCTCTCAACCTGTCATTTGCAATATAGGGACAATTAGACTCTGGGTGGCTGTCAGAATTACTGAGAATGGGAGTGACGTGCTCTGAATGCTCAAACACTAAATAAAGGCTACATACTGTCTGCCCCCAGCTTTCCCCTTTTCCAGAAAAAGGTTTGTCAGGATGGCTGCAGAATGGGCCTGGCGAGCTGGTTTAGCTTTTGCAGGCCAAATCTGACAGTTGCAGCGAGGCAACACTGAGGATTTTGTTACCAGGGTTTTTATTTTTAATTGTGCCCAATAGGCAGTTTGTGCTCCAAATCCATCAGGAACAGCTGGATGAAATGGCAGCCTTGTGTTTCCAGGAAGAGGGCTTGATCAGTAAGATGTCAGAGCTGGTGAGTTGTGTTTGAATATTCTTTAAAGTGCCCCCCCCTCAGCTGTGCTTATTTCTCCATGGAGATACCTGTGCTGCATACCGTGTGCAGTCTGCTGGGGTTGTGAAGGCGAGCCCCTTCAGCAAACATTGAAAAACACAGGGCAAGCAACTTGCAACTCTGATTCTAGAAATACCCTTCACTTGTAGAGTTCATGATCTTTAACACACCCATCCTTATTCCTTACATTTTCCCTCTGCTAGGATTTCGAGGACTTTGTGGCGCAGCTAGATGAAATCCTGGCGCTGAAATCCAAATGCATCCAAAGATTGCGAAGCCAGCTGCAGCCTATTCTAGCTGCTCCTGCAAGTGGGACGGCACCAGACAACTTCCCTATGAAATAGCAGCATGGGTGAGGACTGCGCTGAAGCATTTGACCTTCAGTGAGCAGCAGCTCAAGACAGTGAGGACTTCCAAAAGTTTGGGTCTTCTACATGGCATGTGCTTGAAGACTTAAGGCTTAACTTTAGCAGCATAAACTCAGCGGAAGTCCAGATTGTGTGCTCTGCCATTCATCTAAATACTTGACCACTGTGGCAAGACTTTGAGAGGTGGATAAAGTGATCCCTTTTCTCCTGCCATCACTCAGGCAACTTCACATTTATGGCAGTTTTGCGTACTGACAAAAAACAATAGAAAACCCAGCCAGATGGGCAATCAGAACTAGTCCTGTTCTCAGGCAGTGTAGCCTTTGAGAAAGCAGTACTAGCTACTACCAAAGCCCCATATGGCTAGGCTGCTTTGGCAGTTTGAAGTGTCTAAAGTATCGAGAGCCAGCGGACCTGCTTATCGGCATTACAGATCAGAGACACAGAGTTCACATTCTTGTAGTTATCCCTCTCTTCTCCCCTCAGCCATATTTACCAAGCATTCTACACTTGTGCCTTGGCGATCTGCTCATCAGGTGCTTCCACACTAACTAAAAAGGTTTATTTTCAGATTTGCCCTTCCTTTTAAAATTGCATTTTATTTTCAGGATTCACTTTCTTTTACGGTTGTATCTTTTTTTGACTGTAAGCTTTAAAACTGTTTTTGATGTTGTATTTTATATTGTTGTAACCCATTCTGGGACCTTAGTGTGAAGGGCAGGCACTAAATTAAATAACAACAGTGAATTTCAGTCAAGCCTGGGTGGGCATCACTTTGCTCCACCCATGACCTTCAAGAGTTTCGTGAAGATGGGTTAGAAGACGCAAGCCGTCAGACTGCAAGTGGGAAGGCAGAGTGACATGGTGCCTGAAGCCTTTGCATGACTGTCGTAAACATGATGTGCCTAACAGCTCTGTGAAACTGGTGCTCTCTTGTCTCGCTAGACAGGATTTCTAAGCAGAACTTTTGACAGAACCAAGCCACTTTTATCAAGCCATCAACACTAGTCTGAACGAACAGAACTCAATCCAACTTGTACAAAAATAGGTGAATACTTGGTTTATGGCAGCAGCCCCAAAGAGGATGCAAGCATTGTGGACAATAGCTAGTCCATCTTGTGAATGAGGCTTTTCCAAGATGGTGGAGAGAAACAATATTAAAAGGATTCACAGAAAGTGATAACTGGAATTTTTGAAACCCCAAACAAGAGCATAGGGCAGCAAAAGCCAGTATCCTTTAAAACCTTGTCTTACTTGGAGAACAGAGTGCTGCACATCACGATAGCTGCTCTTAATTTGTTTCTTTCCATGCGTCAGGGAGACAGCACAGTCAGGAGTTGAGATTTACTCTGTCAAGCCCATCACTTATGAAAGATGGGCTTTGTATCCATTAACAGGGTTGTTCCACCCCAAGGTTCATCTAAGTTGGAAGTTTAGCAGTCAGGCGGCAATATTTTCCACTTGCGTGGTGCCTCCAGACTACATGCGTACCCTTATTTCACAAGAGTAGCATCAGCATTCACATGCCAATAGATGCCACCATCTCATCTCACCCCGTTCTGGCTTGACCTTTGTGACTTCAACACAACAGTTCAGGGGTCACAGCACTGTCCTTAAAGCAACATTGGTCATTCCCTTTCCCACATAGCAAGCACCAACTAACCAAGTCACATTCAGAGCAGCAAAAGCAGCTCTTTGACTGACCTTTCCCACTGCTAAAGGAAATCATGTGCACATTAAGTCCTGGTGCAGGTACGTTCCTTGGCAGGTATAAACCCAGCAGGGACACAGTTCCTGCTTTTCAGGTACAAATTAACCAATTAGTAAAATGGTCGAGAATCTAGCTGAGTGGCATTACACAAGAGCTGTGTACTACAATACATGGACATGTTTCTAAGAGTTCTTTGTTTTAAGAGTCAGTAGGTTAAAGTGAATTCACTTAGAATATTATGCATGTTGCTTTTATACTGAATTTTTAATTGAAGTAAAAAGAGAATTGAGCAAAACTTGCACAGAGGTCTAAATTGTGTCAAATTCAGTATTCTGATAAAATGAAATTTGGTTTGAATGCAAAAGTAATTCACAGCATGGCAGAAGTGCTAAATAGCAGCAGCAGCAGCAGCAGCTGCTGAAAAACAAACACTGATGTGCAACAGGAGCAGTAGCTGCTTTTGGCTGCAGATGTGAGAGGCTGACAACATCCTGATCACAACTCAAGTAAATTGTCCAGCAGCAGAGGTCTCCCTCAAGGGAGGAAATGGTAGAAAGGCTTTTCTGTCAGTACACACAGTGCAGCAAATCACATTTCCCTGTGCTCTGACCATTGCAGCAGTTGGTGGCTGCAGGATCCACACATGACTCTCTAAGTTTACAGATGCAGACAGAGAACTTGATCAGCAGCAACTTACTTTGGTTCTGCCACCAAAACCTGCACCTCAGATTCTGTTGCAGCATTCTTCCTTCAGTGTCTCATTTAGTAACGAAGCGTCTCTTGTCAAAGCTGTTCGCTCCCTCCCTTGAAATGCCAGAGCCAAGCTGCTGTCATTAGGAAAGCGATAGGTAAGGGCTTACATTATAACTCAGGTGTAAAAACATGGTCAGCCACAGGGATCTGCTCCAGATTCATCCATTGAGTGCTTGTTTACAGTCAAAATTCAGACACACTATCAGTGTGTCTTCTATACCTGGGGGTGATAGTTTATGCATGAGATATAGTTCCTTTTCTGTTCAAAGTGATTTGATACATCTAAAACCAATTCTAATCACAGAGTCACTGCTGCTGTCACAGGACACTACCGCTTGGGTCACTGACAACACAGTATGTCCCCATATTGAATTATGAGCTCCACAGATAAATTCTACTATTGTTTCCATTATCCCTTATGGTAGTGGAGATGACAGCTTCTACTGAGATCAATGGCTCCTAACTGAACTCAAATCAAGTATTGAAAAAGTTTGGTAGTGAGGTGTTGTCCCAGTTATGTGGGACAGGCCCCAAGATCCAGGTTGCTGAAAGTGTTTTCATACTGTACTTGCTGAAGTCTATGTAGTGACCTGCGGGGGGCGGGGGAGAGATTACTGAAGGGATGTTCGCTAGGGAGTTGGAAACGTTTTTCCAAACCTGAAACTCAAGACACAAGATGTTCTAGTGATATCGGAGATTTATAACCATTCCAGATTCATTCCGTTTCTTTTCCCTACCGCAAAAGCTCTAGAGCAGGAGACCACCAGCCACATTTTAAGGTTTTATTAGTATCTCTTTCTGCAGAACCAAAATACTTAGCAAATTACTCCAAATATCAAGACTGCTTATATTTTTTTTATGTATTTAGATCTTTTAACCATGTACAACATAATACACTATTGTACTATCAAAACCAAAAGTCTGATTTCTATTACTAGATGTTAATAGATTAATGATTACTATAGCAGTGTGGAAAAAAAGGAACCAATGCAGTGAATATTAAAAAGAAAGTGCTTGAAAGACAGACCTCCAATTTCACACTGTGTATTTATTTTAAACTAATGGAGTAGCCGAGTTCCCAGATGGGTCTCTGCTTAAATAATAAAACCTACTAGTTTGGGGAGGACAGTAGAGCCAAGAGGTTCAAGTCTCTTCCTCAGACTTCAGAAACCAGCCAGTGGGCAAGGGCTCCAGGTGGGGTTTCACAGCTTACCTGTTCTGAGAACTTATCTGTTCAAGCACACTGGCCAGAGCGTGTGGGCGGCTAGGGCCAAAACACCAGAAAAGGAAGCAATGCAGCTTCTCCGTATGCATAGAGGCAGTTTCAGAACCAGTGTCACACTTAAATTACACGCTAACCTTCAACCAAAGCCTCCCCCCCCTCCACCAAATCAAACCGAAATTCCATTGCACTAAAGGTGGACTTGTGTTAATCTTGACCAAGGGTCAAATGTTTTCAGTAGAAGCAGACGCACAAATGAAAGCAGCTTCAAGGAGCCAAAGCATTGTTCGTTTCAGAGCCAGGCTGAGTCCAGTGCAAGACGGGGGAGTGGGGTGGGGAGAAATACAACTAGCCTGGTCTGACTATGTACAACTCCAGTCAAGATTCTCCGTGGCCGAGCCAAAAAAAAGGAAACTTAGGAAAGGACACTTAAACTTTAATCGGAGAACGTGGGCTGGGGTCTCTCCGCTGGGAATAGCACCCTGGAGTGATGCGTGCCCACGGAGCTGCTCCCCCAGCTCTCTTCGGCATCTGGGAAAGGCAGGATCCTTGCGGTGTTGTCCTCCTTCCAATGCCTGCAGGGAGAGCCACATGATGGTGGCGGCAAAGGGTCTGGTTAGCAGGGCAATGTCTGTGCTCCGTCCCGCATTCTTCAACTGGCTCCTGCTCGGGTCATTAGATCTTCCAGTGCATTGTTCTGGTCATTGTTGTGTAATAATAAAACCTCTTTAATGTCTTTCAATTCAAATCCCATTTCTTTAAATTTACTCATTAGCTGGAGAAGTTCTGTTGTCTACAAAAAAGGGAGAAAAAAGGAAGAGGACATCTTGAAGAGCATGCTAGGAAGGGACCCCCCATCTGGAAGGAAGATTACTTATATCCTACTGAGCGTCTCTGGATCAGTCTTCCATCATTAAGGAGTAGCCACGGAAAAGCACAGAGCCCCATGCAAGAACTTCCAAGACATGACATTTAAGAATTTGCATCCAAGCAATTAAAAGACACTTAAGAATACAATTACATTAAGTAAGAGCCAGACGGATCTCTTAAGTTAGACAGTTCTTAGCAACCTGGGCATTACACACCTAAATAAATTTATATGAAGCCAGTGGATACCATCTGAACCAAATGAAACCACTACTGGAGGTGACCCAGTGATTGGAGGTAGCAATGGGTTGGATGAGGGGGACAAACTGAAGCTGCATCCTAACAAGACCGAAGCACTCCTGGTGGGTAGTTCTCATAGCCAAGAATTGGGGCGTGATGCCTGTTGATGGAGTCTTACTCCCTCATATGGAACAGAACTATGGTCTGGGGTAATAATAATAATAATAATAATAATAATAATAATAATAATAATTTATTATTTATACCCTAACCATCTGGCTGGGTTTCCCCAGCCACTCTGGGCGGCTTCCAAAAGAATATTAAAATACTGTGATAAATCAAACATTAAAAGCTTCCCTAAACAGGGCTGCCTTCAGATGTCTTCTAAAAGTTTGGTAGCTATTTTTCTCTGACATCTGGTGGGAGGGCGTTCCACAGAGCGGTGCCACCACCAAGAAGGCCCTTTGCCTGGTTCCCTGTAACTTGGCTTCTCGCAGTGAGGGAACCACCAGAAGGCCCTCGGAGCTGGACCTCAGTGTCCAGGCAGAACGATGGAGGTGGAGACGCTCCTTCAGGTATACTGGACCGAGGCCGTTTAGGGCTTTCAAGGCCAGCACCAACACTTTGAATTGTGCTCGGAAACCTACTGGGAGCCAGTGTAGGTCTTTCAAGACCAGAGTTATATGATCTCGGCGGCCGCTCCCAGTCACCAGTCTAGCTGCCGCATTCTGGATTAGTTGTAGTTTCCGGGTCACCTTCAAAGGTAGCCCCACATAGAGCGCATTGCAGTAGTCCAAGCGAGAGAGAACTAGAGCATGCACCACTCTGGCGAGACAGTCCGAGGGCAGGTAGGTTCTCAGCCTGTGTACCAGGTGGAGCTGGCTGACAGCTGCGCTGGACACAGAATTGACCTGCGCCTCCATGGACAGCTGTGAGTCCAGAATGACTCCCAGGCTGTGCACCTGGTCCTTCAGGGACACAGTTACCCCATTCAGGACAAGGGAGTCCCCCACACCCGCCCGCCCCCTGTCCCCCAAGAACAGTACTTCTGTCTTGTCAGGATTCAACCTCAATCTGTTGGCCGCCATCCATCCTCCAACCACCTCCAGACACCCAGGACCTTCACAGGTTCGGATTTGAAAGAGAGGTAGATCCAGCACTGTCACACTTAAGACCCAGGTGGTGAGAAGAGGTTATTCTCAGTTCCACCTAGAGCACAAGGTACACCTGTTTCTGAAATGGGGAACAGGATTTCTACTTTCTACTGTGGTGCTCCTTTCCTCAGATGTTGTCAGGCAAGGCACCAATCCCTACTCCACCCTGAGCCTGGGATGAAGCTGGAGGGGAGCCGATTACAACGAAAGAGTCACAAGTGCAAGACAACTGCTCCTGATATTCAGAATACAAGCTAGAGGATCAGACAGTCACTACAATCAAAGAGCAGCACTAGTAAGATTAGCAAGCCAAGCACACATGATTAAGCTGAATCACGGGAGTGGTTCTACAGCACCACTGTGCATCCAGCAGCTGAAAACTCACCTTCTCCTCTGAACACTGATACATTTCAAGAGCAGCTTCTACAAGGAGTGGATCAAAGCCCTTCTCGCAGAGCTGCCCATGGACAAACAGGTAGTCAAGGACCTACAAGGAGGAACAGGACAGAGAGGAACTGAGGCAGTCGCTCCGCAAGCATGATCCCACTAACAAGCCTTTTCTAACAATTATCTGAAGCTTATCGGGTGTTTCTGCCACTGGATCTTAGTGACAGGTTATCCACATGAAAAGCTAAAGAGGAGGCAGAAGCTGCACAAACAAACCTGCTTGGGCCATGCAAAATCACGCCTGCACTGATATTTTTTGAGTACAAAGAGATGAAGCTATACCAGGTCAAACCATTGCTCCATCTAGCCCAGGAGAATCTACTCTGGCTGACAGCAGCTCCCCAAGGATTTAGATGACAGTTTTTTTACCAATCTCTGGCACCCACCCACGTTCCTTTGGCTTGAAATGCTAAACCTGGGACCTTCTACAAGCAAAACATGAGCTTTACCACTGAGTTATAATGCCCTCTCCCAGTCTCCACAATTCAGAGATTGTTTTAAGTCCAATTGGCTACAAGGAACACTTATCACAGACATAATGAAAGCAAACTAATACGGCCGCAGTCTTAAGGTCTGAAAGTACAGTGGTACCTTGGGTTAAGTACTTAATTTGTTCCGGAGGTCCGTTCTTAACCTGAAGCACCACTTTAGCTAATGGGGCCTCCAGCTACCGCCGCACCGCCGGAGCACAATTTCTGTTCGCATCCTAAAGCAAAGTTCTTAAC